ATGCAGAATTTACAGTTGGAATATTAATAAAGTCTACAGTTTTGAATTTTCCTGTTTAGTGATATTTGGTTTAATAATAACTTTATTTTAAAGCTCTGTTTGTAAACGAGTGTTTCTTCATCTTGTTTTTATGTTTGGCCCATATGAATTTTCACTTGGTACGCGTTCTGTTATCAATGTCTGTTTTGAAAAAGATTTGATTTCAAATTAGCAGAGTAACTTGATTAGTCGACTAATGTAGACTTAAAATAGACCAGACAATTTATTATCCAACAGATCTCGGTACAATAATTGCCCGAATGAACGAGAAGTTTAAAAAAGGATTAAACGTCTCACTTATATTAATCTGCGTGAAGTAGATTAAAATTATGAATCTCAGTTCAACTTTTGGTCGAGTAAACAATAGCAAATATCCTCAATTTCATATCTTAAATGCTTCTCAGTCTGGCAAATTCTATGGATATGTACGTGTAACTTATAGCTATTTTTAAACTTCAAGCTTTAAGTAATATGGGAAACTATAACACATCCCTTCACATGTTCCAAAGAAAGATGAAGACAAATTCCTGAAAAATCGTAATGTCTCATTTGATTGTCGGCGTGGTGGCGAGCGCCACGCACTTTCCACTTTTTTTCAGAAAACCCGATAGGAAACGGATTGGATGCGGACTTATCACCAGTTCTGTATCAAGTTTTTTCCACAAAATAAAACGGAGAAGCGCGGTCAGCTTTTTGATTCTCGAATCACCATTTTCTATCATCATTTGGAAAAGAGGACAGTGCCGAAACAGGAAACATGGCAAGGTTATGAAGTGGAAATTGGCAATTAGCAGTGGCTGTGGGAACTTGTCTGTTTCACAAGTCATTCAAAGATTTAGACTTTCTCGGCAAGGCTATAAATTAGTTTTTTCCCCAAGAAAGTGTCTAGAAGCTATTCCGTATTCTATCCGGTTCACAATCTGATCTCCTTTTCTTTCTACCCACACACACGATCCGTTGATTCTTATCAGCTTCTCCCTTTGCCGGATCGGAACACTTTTCCTGTCTTTTTGTGGGTCAAAAAGATAGGATAGATATACGGAGATATCATATAGGAGAAGAAGAAAAAGAACACAATAATGGATATTTCAAATAAATAATAATTTATTTGGTCGATGGACTGACGGGCTCGATATTGAATGATAAAATCAGAGTCTGCCAACGAGACTATACACAACAACGAGATGATGATGAGGTTTGGATTTTGAGAAGAGAAGTAAAGAGAAAACAAAAAATGGAGAGGATATGTTGAGGCTTGGTGGAATCGGTGCGACGCGAAATTTGGACATCGTCTACCGGGGTCCACTGACGATGTTCGTTTATCGCCGGGTTCCGTCCTCGAAGAAGACTCCTCCGTCGAGAGCGCAGTACCTGGAAATGATTAGATTTAGAATTCAATATTAAACTTCCACGATGTCTCGAAACCCTACGGAATTTTAAACAAACTCACTTTGGACAGATTCCCTTCTCTCCTGGAGTTCCAGCTGGTCCTGGTGGTCCTGGTGGTCCAGATTGTCCGTCGACTCCTGGTGGTCCGTCTGGTCCTGGGGCTCCCTTTGGTCCTGGTGGTCCTGGTGGTCCGTCGTTTCCTGGGGCTCCTGGTGGTCCTGGTGGTCCTGGTGGTCCAGCATCTCCTGGCTCTCCTGGTGCTCCTGGGGTAAGTGGCTCGGAGATAGCTGGGGTTCCTGGCTCTCCGGCTGGTCCTGGGGCTCCGGCCTCTCCTGGTGGTCCTGGTGGTCCACGTGGTCCTGGGGATCCTGGGGCAGCGTCGGTTCCTGGGCGTCCTGGGGTTCCAGCCTCTCCTGGGTCTCCTGGGGCTCCTGGTGGTCCTGGTGGTCCTGGTGGTCCTTGTGGACATGGCTTGCATGGTGGTGGAGTGGTTGGCTCACATGGGGCAACTGGTGGCTTTCCTGGGGTTCCTGGGGTTCCTGGTGCTCCTGGACGTCCTGGCTTTCCTGGCTTTCCTGGGGCTCCAGCTGGTCCTGGTGGTCCTGGAAGGCAGCATCCCTCGCATTGAAGGTTTGGAGCTGGGTTGACTTCTGGTCCTCCGTAGGCTTGACGGGCGGTACGGTTGCGTGGTGGAACTGGTCCAGCGTTGGCCTTCATGTAGTTGACCTCAGCGAAAATGTCCTTAGCGGATCCCTGGAAGAGACAAGAACGATAAGAATTGTGATGAAATGAGAGTTTAAAACATTGCACTTCAGATTTTAGAGAATTGAACTACAGAACTATTCAATATTGAGAAAAGAAAACAAAGCTTACCTTGCAGAAGTTGATCTCGTGGTGCATCTGCTGTCTGACGTGGGAAACGTAAGAATAGACCATTGGAAGGGTCAAAAGGACTGAAGCAACGGCGGCAATAGAGAAGCCGACAGCCGCGTAGGCCACAAACTTGTAGGCTTTGAGCCTACCGTCAGATTCCATTATGTGTTGCAAAAGGAAGGCTGATGCGAGTTTCTTCACCGCCTGATCGTCCTTTTATACACTAGTGATCCGCGGGATACATCGCTCCGCCCAATGCGGGGCTGTCCGCAACAGAAGATATCGACGAGTCGTTGCCTGCGGAAGATAGAGATGCGGAAAATGGGAGACGCAGATTGTAGAGAGAAAGGATATGGGTCAGAATTGAATTGAGATTTGGCATGATTTTTGAGCTTCGGGACAGAAACGAGAGGAGTTGGAAAGGAGTTCTGTTGGATATCAGAAGTGTAAGAATTTGATCAAAATATCAAACTATCATGGCATTATATGGTGTAAGTTTCTTATTCTGATTTGAAAATAATGCTAAACTATTTCAAAAATTATCTCCATAAATCTTCGAGCCTCAAGATCTGAAAGTTATATTTATTCTTCGGAATGTTTTTGAGCTCAATTATCTCGGTTCCTGTGAGATATCAAAAATATGTTAACTGTTAAAATATCGGCGATGTTATGATAAGCAATGTATTCCTGAAAAATTTTCTATATCTTCTGAAGAAACCGAGATAATTTTGCTCAAAGTGTTTTGCTTGTGTTATTTGAACTTGCTAACAAAAGTTGACTTTGAAAGTTGGACACCCTCAAAACTTTCTGGTGATTGTCGAGTAATCTTAAATTACCAACTTTTGACCGAACGTTGCAGGTTCCTCTTTTCTGCAGAAATCCAAGATGTGCTTCAGACTTCCTTTCGAAATTGGACTGACTTTCTGGAGGAAGTTCTGCAACGTTCTACAAATGTATTCTACCGACAGAAATTCAAATTTTTCAGATTATGGGTGTCTGAATTCCCAACCACCCCATTATTGAATCAGGTTCAATCTTCAATCTAAATTTTTTCCCGATGTAGATGTTCCAGTTATTCTTATTTTCTCTGCAGTAACTTAAATCTGTGTTTTTTCAAAGGTTTCAAGATACGAATCCAAGATTCTGTCTTCTGGAATACAGTATCCCACCATCTCACCTGAATCACATGACAATTGCCTCCTCCCGTCGTTCACGCGCATTTATATATTATTGTTCTAGAGGTCGTTTTCTCGGAATAAGATAGAGAGGGTGTCCCCGGGGTGTCGAACGAACGGAGGTAGAAAGAGAGAAGAAAAAAGGTCACTGATTATCTCGTTTGTACAATCTGAATGTACTTATCCCGTGATGTATTTTGTCATTCCATGACCAGAGTAGATACCTTTGCAGGGGACTCAAAACTTCCCTGGATAACGAATTCAAAATGGATTTCAGGTGTTTTGGCTTTTATGTGTTGAAAATGGCGAAGGTGTTCAAAAGATCGTTATCGAAACGATGCGCGATATTTCTCGATGTTTGGTCATCGGGAATCATCCGGGATGAAGGAAACAGTTTCAGGAGTTACTAGACTATTCAAGAAAATTGTAATGAGTCAAAAAAACTCAGTTTCAGAATCATCAGTAATTTCCATTGAACGTTCTCTGTATCTTTTTCCACCTAATCAAAGGAAATCCTTAGCAATTTCTCTCATTATCCAGCTTCTCCCTCATTTTTACGTCACAACGACGCCAATTCATCCTCAGAATGCAACGACCTTGATAACACCCATAGAAGCAATATTCATAATCATAATAAGAGTCTCCCTGTAAAGGGGCGCCAACCATTCACGCATAATAATCAATCCAGTCTCGGAAAAAGAGGTGCGGTCGAAGCTTTTCCTCCTTTATCACATTTCTTCTCTCTCTCTCGGTTTTTTTCAGGGAATTCCAACGACCTAAAGAAACACCGGCTATGATCTCTATTCTGTTTTATTCTTTTAGATACTCATTTGACGGGATATTAAAACTAGAGAGAATCATCAAATGTTGCAAAGTGTGTCAACGTCTTCAGCCTCATTCTTTCATCTCCAATGGAATCTTCAAACAAAAAAAGAACACCTTTTTGACAGACATATCGAGTTTTTTTCGTTTCCTGCCATTCATCCAGCAACGGTTTTTCTTATCACCAACTTATCAAAGACTGGATTTTTTTAAAGAGAGGTGGACGAGGAGAGTAAATTCTTCAGAATGACACAATCTTGGATTTCGTAACGTTTTGCCGGATGTTTAGGGTTCGTTTAGAGGAATCTAGTTTTCACAGTGATTCTGATGTTGTTCTGGAGTTTCTTTGATTTTTAATTATTCCATATAACGCGGGGAGGCTGAAAATTTTCAGATAATTTTTTTTCCAGGGCTCATTACCAGTTTTCCAAAATCAATAGATATCATCCTATCCGGATTGCACTTTCGTCTATAATTTCCTTGTCTCTTATCATTAATCGTTCATTGACAATTTTCGTTTTCATCTCGATGTTCTCTATTAATCAATCCCCACTTCTCGACACATCAAAACAATAACAACAACAGAGAAGAAGATTCGGATACCCGTTTATATATTCGAATAAAAGACAAATGTTCTCTCGCCCAAATAGATATGCAATCAGTTATTGATTATTTTTTACACAACAAAAGATAAAAGAGTTATCAGTCCGCATGCGACAGTGGAAGTTCGGTATTCATTTCAAACATTGTCTTGAACATTGAAGATTTGCTCATGTTCAGGAAGTATAGGTCTCGATTGATGTCAAGCACGAACTTGACGAGATTTTTACGTTGGAGAGCGACGCAAACCAGAAGCATCGCCACACCAACTCCAAGGAACAGGCATCCGGTAACCACGAATACAGGTTCTTGTTGCTGAAAAAAAAAAAATTTGAATGAAAATTGCAAAATTCTCAATGATTATAACTGAAAAATTTCCAATGCTTTTTACGTTGAGCTAATTTTTCCTGTGAAAAAATAAAAAGGTTGTCAACTGATAAATTGTTTATCATAATATCAGAAATGTTTCGACAGTTGACCCATTTTGATATCTTGCATAGGACCTGAATTAATTTAGCTCAAGCTTGACAGTGTAGGGGCCATGCAGTTACAGGTATTACGGTAGTTTAGAAATCACAGATTTTTGGAGATGCCAATTCGACCGCTTTTTATGAAAGCTTCCGAAAATTCAGAAGTTCTAAAAGTGTTGTGGATTTCATTTTGGGACTTTCAATAATAATTTTAATAATTTTCACTTGACACTATTTTACGAATGCTCTTCCTCCACTAGATAAGCTGAGAAGACGTTCTTACATGTTCTTACAGCAATATTCCTTACAATTAATTAAATAAACACGCCGTTCTATCACATGGGTAATTTGAATCCTAAATCGTTCTCATTTGTCAACTGCCCAATCCCAACAAAAAATCATTCATCAGCTTCTGCTTCATCTGATTTAGCCGATTAGTTAACGCACCCAACATTCCAATGTCCAGCTGTTTTTTTTTGTCCTTTCTCAGATCTTTCTCAGTTTTCTCTAGAAGAAGAAACAAAACGGATCATTTTCCTCCACCTTTTTTGTCCGTTTTTCTCAATTAGACATACCATAATGAGGATGACAGGAAAAGAAAGAACAACGAAAGTGAGAAGCATCCATGAAAAGGAAAAAAGGGAAGCGATAATTTAAGGATGTATAAGAAGATGTGCGGCGTTGATAAGGGATGTCTGCGTTTCTCACAGGTGAACACTATTTCTTTAGGAATGAAAGCGAGAAGAATTGTCACTTTCGAGAAAGAAGCGAATCGGCGTGTGTTCCGTGCGGTTTTCAGTTTTCATGTTTCAGTTTCAACACAATTTCGGGGGATTAAGGAAGACGAATTCGAGACCTGAACTAGAGATATAAAAGTTTATGAGCTTTCCATAAGAACAATTCCGGTTAGCTACTTCTGATAAAAAGTAAACAGTCTGGTAGAGATTTAGGTCTGTAAAAGGGGTCTTGATTTAAAAGATTGCTAAAATTGAAAGCCAGGATTACCCTATTGTCTCTAACAGAAGTCGTCTCATTCCCTGTGAAAGATATTCAAAAGTAAAGATATTCAAACTCATATTCGACATGTTTCATAGGGAATGAGATATATCGGCTCAAAGTAGACGATTTAGGTGACACTCCATTAGAGTGTTCATGGTAATTCTGAAAAGTGAATCTCGACTAGGAGATTGTTAAATTGATTAAAATCTTTCGAAAAACATCCCAAAACAACCTTTTTTATTACCTCTAATCAAACTCTTCAAAACGGCACTTCGTATCAAAAACACCATTATTCTAAATCTTTTCAAACAGGTCGGAATCTTTTCATTTTTTTTATTCATTTTCCTAATTTTGGTGATTGACCAGCGCACACACCCGCAGTGCGCTACTGATTTAGTGAAGGGGGAAACCAGCTGATATAGCCGACGGAAAGCCGAAGAACATAATCAAATTTAAAAGCGATAGGCAACAATGCGTGTATATCTGTCACTCCGACCGTTTCACTCATCTTCTTCACTCACCACGATCAAAACGATAATCCCGCTGAGAATAAGGGTGGTGCCGACGACAAAAAGTCCGGATAGGGCGAGAACTGTCGCCGCTGATGAGGGACCTTTTTTACGGTTCTCTTGTTCGTGCTGCAAATTGAGAAGTTGAAGAAAACAATTAGATATTGTTGAACACTTTTACATGAGGTCTCATTTTATTCAGGAAATTATAATTTCCTGCATAAAATTACAGAAGACAGGCAAATGTGGACGCTCGAACAATGAATTATTGTATGAGTCATGGAAATAAACAACTGATGACGAAAGCGCTGGAATAAACCAGTCCCTCATTTTTAGATCTTTTTTAGGGTCGTTTATTTATTTTATTTGAGAACTTTTCTGAGCAGCGATCTTTGCAAAATAATCGGACCCTATGAAAGTTTTAGATTCCTGAAACAAAAAAAGTTCCTAAATTACGTTCTGTTCAACAATAAAAATTCCAAGTGACCGGAAAATCTGTAATAGAAGTGCCCACACACTGTCAAGTTTGAGCTCAATTATCTCGATTGCTGTGACAGATACCAAAAGTTTGTTAACTGACAAAATATTGATGATGTTATGATAAATAATTTATCAGTTGACAAATTTTCAATATTTTTCACAGGAATTGAGATCATTCAAAGTTTATGGTTCGTGTGGGCTTCTTTAAAAGGAAATACGGTATACTTTGCTTTTCAATTTTTCAATATTTTAAGCGTTCTCCCAATCAATAAAAAAACTGAGCATTGTCCCGAAACTATCCAGAATTTAAAAAACCCACCTTGTCGAAAATTGGAGTTGCCATTCTTCTCAACGGATCTTCCTGTGAACTGTATTCCCTTTGGGGCACTTTGATCTTTTGACTGAGAGCTGGAGAGTGATCCTGAAATCAAAGTGATTGAACTGTTTAATCAAATCCATCTTCTAAATTCAAACCTTGCCATGAGCATCATCATTAAAGTTAATTGTTAGATGAGTTGGTTTCTGGGCTTTATTCATTTTCAGAGACATTTTCAGGATTTTGTAAAAGGTTCAAGTGAGAACAGAATGAAATGATTCAGAGAGATGACTAATCAATGTTTCAAAATTCTCTCTTTCTAAACTCTCTTTGAAGTAATCAATATATTTTGTTATCAACCATCATTTTTCCCTCTCCATCCACATCACTCTGTGTTTGCGCTTCTTCCCTCGCCCCGGAATAATGTTACAGCTTTTCCATGTTTCCCCTTTTTTTTGAATTTAAACCCATCCTTGAATTTCGAAACATTTTTGTTAATAATTGCGTTCCATGTTTTGCGGACTACATTAACATGTCATCATCTCTAATTCAAAATTCGTATATGTTAGACCTTTTCTTTGGCATCCTCTAAAAAGCACTTTTTGTGAATTAAGATCGTCAGGGTCGTTGGTACTAATTCTTCTGCATACTCAATTATTTTACTGGGTCGAAATGATGCTTATTCCAGAACAGCACAAGTCATGGGACGAAAAATGTCATGTCTTGAAAATATGATTGATAAAAAAGACGAAGGAAGCTACATGTTTTGCACAATTGAGACAATTTCCAATTAAATTTTAGTTTATGGGGGAAGGGGGGGGGGTCCGTGTACCACTCCTCAAAATGAAGCTTCTTCACGGGACACCCATTCATATTTTTTTTGGCTCTACGCCTCTCAACCAATTCGTTTTCTCAATTCTTCCCTCCAACATCATTCTCTTCTCGACAGTCACGTCACTTCATCATAGAGCCCCCAACCTCATCTCATACTAAATCTTTCTTTTTTCCTTCTACTATCCATCATCCACTTCTAATTTCCGTTGCTTGTGGTTCTTCGACAATGACACGTCGTAAATTAGGTGGAGTCAGAATGGGAGGAAAGGAAAAAAATGTATACGAGGTGGAAAAAAAGGCAAGCATGAGTGTTTCTGGTTGGCTTTTTGGAGATTCACAAAACGTTTTTTGACTTGCTCAATTTCGAGGAAGCTAGAGAGTGTTCAACATTGCTATCCCAAAAAAATGGGGTCCTTGAGATCTATGGGATTTTCCACAGGGTTCGAACTGCTGTGGTAGGCTGTTGTGCTTCACTGAGAAGGTGAAGTGACGAATTTTTAGGCCGTAAAAACTCACATTTCTGGACGTTCTTAATTTCTGGATGTTCTTAAATTTCTGGACGTTCTTTCCCACCTCAAAAAAATTTTCACTGATCTAAAACTTCGCCGCGTCACTTTCTCACTTGAGCGCTACGGCATATCACAGCAGTTCAAACTTTTTGGAAAACCCCTTAGATCTCAATGACCCCATTTTGTGTGGATAAAGAAGATACTCGCAAGCAAACCCTGTAGTTTTCAAGAGAATTCCAATTAAGCTCATTTAAAAGTACATGTTCCTCACATTTTCAAACTCACTGATATGTGCTAAAAAGGAGCTTCTTCTCAGAATACGTCTAGACGTTGTGAATGATATTGTATCATTTTCTTCTTGTTCTTATTCTTCGATTTCCTTTTCTTTTCTATTTTCTTCTTTTTTATTGTATGTGTCACCTATGTTTTCAAAACGTTTGTATTCCAAAGAAGCGTAGCGGAAAAACTGAGAGGGCATAGAGAGACAACAATTTTTTTTTGCATGGTTATGTTTTTTTTTCTTACCGTCAAATTACTCCTGCTCCCCCTTTTTCTGAGATACGCTTTCTCCGTAAGCCACGCCCACTTTAGACCTACCATAGTATATGGAGAGGTTGGTCTAGACGGCAGCATTGTCGTGTCGAGATGGAGTGGACGGCTCACTGGCACCATCAAAAAATTGTTTCCATTCTCTTCCACCTCGTTTTCGTTGTTGTTGTTGCGCATCATTTTGTATCGTTTTCTGTATCTGGAAATTGCTAGACCGTTTCAGAGAGGGTTTTACGATGTCTTCAAACGACCAAGGAGCCCCAAGAGATGTTGAATCGGGAGCCGGTGATATTTCATCGGGAGGAACTTACAACTCAAAACGGATTCAGATGACTAAGGCTCAAGTTGATGAAGTCGTCAACGTCATGAAGGTGAGTAGGAGAAGATCGAGGGTGGGGATAAATATAAAAAGGGTGTAGGATTCAAAGAAATATAATTTGTAAATGAATAAAAATTTCTGAAGCTAATGGAACACTATCGTTCATGATAATCACTGATTGAGTCTTAGAAATATTACCAATGGAAATAGGGCATTTAAAAACTTAATGTCTATAGGAGACATCACACGGAGAATTTTGAAAAGAATCATACGATGATCGCGCTGGAGATTCTAGGAGTCCGGTTTTTACACATTTGAAATGTCGGATTTTTTAATGACATATTTTTTCGATGGCAGAAATTTTTTTTTTACTTCAAACGGTTTTTGGAAACACAAATAAAGTAATACTAAATAGCCGGGCCTAAACAGAGCCTAGCTTTGAAAGTTCTCTAATAAAAATTCATCATATGCTTGCACTTTGAGCTCAATTATCTCTATTGCTGTGAAAGATATCAAAAGTTTGTCAACTGATAAAATATTGGGGATGTTATGATGATTAGTTCATCAGTTGACAAAACTTTGGTAACTTACACAGTAATCGAGATAATTGAGCTAAAAGTTGACGGTTTGGGTGGGCTACATTAGAGAAAAAACGGTAGTAAAGGTTGTAGATAAATCTCTGTAAGAAATGACATAGAATTCAATTTTTGAAAACAAACTGATCCGAAAAAAAGGTCACGACACTTTTGTGTGTTGTACTATTTTGAATTCTCCATGTTTCCCTATCCTATCAACCGGGGCATCTTCAAGTTAAGTAAACACTCCGGAACGTAGAAGGTGTGAGAAAGAGGAGATGCAGAGAATCTTTTGAAAATTAAATGTGATTTCAGAACAATGTGAACAAGGTTATGGAGCGTGAAGCTCAACTCAGCTCCCTGGACCATCGTGCCGATGCTCTTCAGAGCGGAGCTTCTCAGTTCCAGCAGTCATCTCGCACTCTTCGTCAGAAGTACTGGTGGCAGAATGCTCGTGTAAGTTTGTTTTTTAATGAATTTCGGATTGATCCTCAAAACTAACTTTCAAAAAAGAGAGGGTGCACCTAATTCACAACTACCAACATATGTCTATTCAGATGATGATCATTATCGCCATTATCGTCGTTCTCCTCATCGGAATCATCATCCTCTGGATTTCCAACTAAATAGGAATCAAACCTAATAATTTGATCAAACCTAATAATTCCCCTTTACTCTGCATAACTCACCTGACTAACTTTGTACTATTTTTGCACATTCCTAAAATTAGCCTGCTTTCTCAAAAGTAGTCGTCACGTTAACTTGAATTCTCCCCAACCCGATTTTCCGAGAATTCTCTCACGGCACAGTAACCGGTGCACCCTAATTTTGTAGTTTTTCCCAACGATAAAAACCCAATGATACGATAACAACGAAATAAAGATGAAAAATGTGGAAATATAATTTGGAAACAGGAGCCCAGGTCACAATATATGAGGCTATATGAGCTCCGTTGCCTGCCGAGCACATACACACGCCAGGCATATAAAAATCAATTGAGCAAACAGTGTGAAATTCGGACTCGTTTCGCCAAACATCTGTTTAGTTTTTGTTAGTCACTAAGCACAAAGAGAACTGGGAGAAAAATGAAATGACGAGAGTTCAGTTATATTTTTATGAGAACTGATGAAAAATAACAACAAAAATATATGGGTGGGAGAGAGATGGTGAATAGAAAATGGAAGAATTGAGGTAAAGTGAAAAATATATTAGACAAGAAGGACGGAAACCAATTGTAGTCTCTCAGAAAGCATTCATACAAAGATAATGTTTCCGATTGCATAACAAAAAAGTTTGAGTACCGTAATAGGATCTCACCCTATGCGTGCTCTTTAAGCTCAATTATCTCGGTTTCTTCAATAGATATCGAAAACTCGTCAACTGATAAAATGTACTTGAAAAGATGAGTCTTCTATTTTTCGATTAGTATCACAAGAACTTGCTTCTACCGTTGCAAAAATTACTGTAGTTTTCAAAGCAAAAGCTTTCTATTGTAATTGTCGTTTATTCAACGGGACAAGGATTACCGTAGTTTTTTGAACCAACCAGGTCCAAATTTTACTGGAGTTTTTCGTTTAAAAAATTCAAGTAATCTAGAATAGTTCATTTATTCAAGTAAACATTCCGTCATTGATATGATAGTTCTGTAAAAGAGACAAAGCTGTGAAAAGAAGAGTTACAATAAATGGTCCAACAATGTGAGCAATCTCGACATTTCCCTAAAAATACATTGAAATTACAACAATTTTCGAATCCACTTACATGACCGAAATGCATTCTTTCTCTACTCCTTTGCACAAAACTTGCAGTATTCTTCAATAATTCATCCATTTCCTCATTTTCTCCAAAGAAGATGTTCCACAACCACGAACGGAACATTTCATCTGAATCGTTCTCACAACAAAGGGTACCATAGTAGACTCCTTCATTGTATCGGTGGGCACATTTATGGACTCCTGATTTCTGGCATAGTTCCTTGAATCCAGTTTCAGTCAAATTGAATGGAAGCAAAGCTGACGGAGAAGCACATCCAGATGAGAAAAGAAACGAAAATTGCTCATTTCTATAGATTTCAGTGAGCCCGATTTGTTGAAAACATGAATTGAATGTGGAATTGCATTTGTCGTAATGGAAGATGCGGTTTTCTTTTTGTAGGGTCCTCGATATCATTGGACAAGAAACCTGAGAATGTCACAACTACAGTAACCAAGACAATAGTCACTCACATTTTTCGACCCATTTATCAGTGGAAGCAGCACAAATATCATAGATATCTGAATCAGAATTTTCATTTTTATTGTTCACTTTGTATTTTGTTTTTTTTCTCTTTACAATTTTAGCATTAAAATAGTCATTCACTTTGGTGGGTGTAACCACGTCATCTAACCTAAATTTCGATTGAACTATGTTTTTTTTTCTTACTATTAACTTAATAAGACATGTGAAGTGTCTCATAAAGAGTCCTTATTTTATTCAACTATGAAAATCTTTTTTCAAACACTGCGCGCTTTTGTTGAAAATAGTGCGCAAACCCTCTGCTGACCCATTTCTTGAGTTTTGCTGGCGTCTTTCTGAAATGCGCAAAATTGGAGTTTTTCAGTGATTGCTTTTAAGCTCAATTTTTGGTATTTTCAGAAAATAATATTTGCTGAAATTAGTTTATAATTCATTCTTTTATTTATTGGCGTAGATTATCTCAAAAAACACTGAAATAATCATATTTATGATGCAAATTCAAGCTTTTCTTTATTCTGTACGAAATAAAATGTTCAATGTATATTTTTTCAGAAATGACCGACACACTTTTTGGATTCAACAAATCGAATGTCGTGTTGGCAGCCGGTGTCGCCGGTGCTGCATTCCTCGGGTATTGCATCTACTTCGATCACAAGCGAATCAACGCTCCAGATTATAAGGACAAGATTCGGCAAAGTGGGTTTTGGGTTATTTCTTTGTTTCGATTCGCATAACTTTATTGATTTTGCAATTGTTTCAGAGAGACGCGCTCAAGCAGGATCCGGGGGAATGGCTGCTCGTCGTCCGCCCGCAGGTGGTAACGAGATGGCCCCAGACGTTACCGATCCAAGTCAAATGCAAAGGTTCTTCTTGCAAGAGGTTCAGCTCGGAGAAGAGTTGATGGCCGCTGGAAATGTGGAAGAGGGAGCAGTGCATATTGCCAACGCCGTCATGCTGTGCGGAGAATCTCAACAACTTCTTTCCATCTTCCAGCAGACATTGTCAGAAGAACAGTTCCGCGCTGTTGTTCAACAACTGCCATCAACACGTGAAGTGAGTTTTTGGCTTTCTTATTCAGAAGAAACATTCGGTGTATTTACAGCGTCTGGCTGATATGTTCGGAGCTAGAGCTGACGAAGCCGAGAATGAGCCACCACTCGTTCAATATCTCGGAGATGGACCACCACCAGCACAAATTCAAGAGCTTATCGATGATACTGATGACTTGGAGTAATTATTTAACTGTTTTCTACGTACTACTGTTTGTTTTGTTTCGTATTTGATTTTCCCCAAACTGTTTAGTTTAGACATCCCCCTCCTCACGGATCCTCATTTGTCTGTTGCTCTTATTCCGTTCCATATTCATCTTACACACCCGATAATAAACATAGTAGCCCACCGAAATGATCTTTTGATGTGATATACTCGGAATTCTTGATAATCAGTTCCTGGTTCAGATTTTCCGCTCCGATGAGCACTTCTAACGAGCTCTCTCCTTACTATAGGGTCTCTTCTCCCGTTTTTCATTGCATTTCGAGGTCGCCGTCTCGATTTGCCAGGTGTGAGGACGTCAAGACACCCTGTCATTTACCCAAGGCTCTTTTTTTCTCTATCTTTTTCCACCTCCTTGTTCCACACGCGATGTTCATCTCAATTCAACCGGTTTATGGATCAGACTTCTTTTTCTGACCACTCTCCATTTTTTATTAAGCTCGAGGGTCGTCTCTTTTTGAGACCAACTCGTTCGTTTTTCACTTTTCTATGCAATTTTGTCTACAGCATCCCACCCCGTGCACTATCCATAGCAACAAATCCCGAAACGTCTCAAATGGACTTCTCGGATGGCCGAAAATCGGAAAGAGAAAAGGAGGAGTTCTCTCGGAGAGTAGGTTGTCATGACCATGGATTTTGACGACTTGTGATGAGTGAAAGAAGTTATTCCGCAAAGAGTGAGGAGCCCAGTTGACGAACATCTCATTTCTGTCATTTTGGCATCTTCCAAACATTTTGTGGTTTGGCGAAAAATAATTTATCTCAATAGTTCCTTTGAAAACTTATACTTTGAATTTTCTAAGCAACTGAAGTGTTTTATTTTTCAGCGAAAGGTCAGAACTAAAAATTCTAGCTCCATTAATTCGTTAAACTTTTCTTAAAGGCGGAAAAGCGAAACTCCGTAATCTTTGATCCAGCTCCGATCAAACTCCGTAATCTTTGATCCAACTCCGTAATCTTTGAGCTGTGGAAGAGAAACGCCGGTGGCCATGGCCGAAGGCCCCACAGCGACAACTACCGTAACCTATAAATGTTTTTATTTCCCGTGTTTGATTTCTCGTGCTTCACCGCTTTTCGTTGAATTATGGGTTTTTACCCAAAAAATTTTTTAAACGAAATTTTTTGATAAAGGAAAAATTGACTTAAAAACGCACGCTATTTCAAACAGCCTGATCGGAAAACGCGCCCCAGCGAACGTGAGAAATCACTGCTCAACGTGTCAAATTTTCGCTGGCTGAGGATCAAACTTTTAAACGTTGGGCGAAAAAATTGCGAGTTACAATACGTTGATTAAAAATATATAGGTCAAATCCACGTCAACATTTGAATTATTAAATTTCGCCTGGCCTAAAAGTTATCTGGGGCGCGGTTTTCGACCCGTTGGTTTGAAACACCGTGAGAACGTAAATCCTGAAAATAAACATATTTTTAGGTTACGGTAGTTGTCGTTGTTGGACCTTTTACCGGCGTTTTTCTTCCACAGCTCCGATTTTTTGTACCAGAATAATAACAGTGTGAAAAGTGTCAAACTCGCTAATCCGCTAAACTAACTTTTCACACCTCTGCCTGCCCCATCTCATTTTTCTCTCTCTGATTTGTAACCATCACTTTTCTTCGTTCATCCATCATATGTTTTGTTTGAACATCGCTGATCGTTCTGGCCCTCTTGGCGGTCCGCTCCTCATCATCACTGCGCCGTGTGCTTCTCTCTGCTAACAGCGGAGCACCACTAATAAAAAAAAATATAGAAAAATCGTCATCGGTCCAACGACAAAGTGTAGACAATTTTCAACATTTTCATCATCATTGTGACTGCTTTGCGGTCTAGCGAGGCGTTGGAAGAGACGGCTCGAATTTCCGTCGAGATCCACATGTTGGAAGAAGAAGAAAAAGAAGCGATAGATAATAGCGAAAAGAGGGGGCAGGATGAATTTTGAAGAGAGTACTTTTGGCACATAAGGTGACCACACTCGTATTCTGATTAATCGTCTTGATTTCATGTTCAACAAACTTTTTCAAGAGGTTTCTTTTTTTATTAATCGTAAACCTGAAATAGACAGACCCTTTGACTGTAACTTTTTGTTCAATTTTCTCGATTCCTGTCATAGATATGGGAAAACTGTCAACTGATAAATTGTTTATCATAATATCAGAAATAATTTATCAGTTGACTATTTTTTGATATCTTTCAGAGGAATCGAGATAATTGAGCTCAAAGCAGATGGTTCCGGTGGTCTTCTATTAGAGGAGATACGGTATTTTCTGATACTATCCCTAGTTACGAAATGTCATTTTGAAATATTCTAAAAATTATTCTTTTCAATTTGTTTCTTGATATTTACCTGCGTTTTCTTACGAACAAAGCAAATGTTCACTACAACTTTGGAAACCAATCATCAGTATCGATCCACTTTTGAAATTCAGTTTTCTTATCGTTAATATAAAAAATTGCCTACAGTATCCTCCTAACTAATTACCTTTTTTTGTATAAAGTAACACCTTTCTACAACTTTCATGTAAAGGTAAATTTCCCTGTTAAGACTCACATTTTTATGAAAATACTAAATTTACTGTTCCATGGAAACATTTTTATATTCCGGTGGTCTTTACTCTGTTTTTTTCTCGTTTCCCGAAACTCTCTCGCACCAACCGCTTCTCGCCATAATTCACAAATTTGGACCAGTTTTTGCGGGGCTTTAGGTGTGTGAAGTCCCACACGACCACTACCGCCACCTTCACCTCGCAAATAATAGGCCATGGGCCTTTAGAAAAAAAAGAAATCGCCAGTGCCCCTTCTTTCTACACACAACCAGTATGAGCACCTTCTTCTTCTTCTTCGGTTTGGAAGAGACATAATTGTGGTGAAATGACAGACAGACGCACCCCTAGTAGCGCTACCGAGTACACCTTATATAGACGTCATCTACCGGATACCTCAGTTTTTTTCTTGTCCTTCTCCAACTGAATATTTATTTATTTATTCTTGTTTTGTGTTCTTTTTCTGTACTACGAAAAACCCAAGAGAGAGAGAGAGCATTCAGAGAAATGTATAAAAAGTTTTGAATTGACATGGATAATCAGGTTGATGTTTGATTTAGTCCCTAGCAACAAGTAAAACACATGTTCCACTGATCAATTTACACGCGTCAGTCAATTTTCGGAAGGACATTTTCAGCTGGGCATTTGTGACCAGAAATAAGTATTGAGTCCAGATTTAGGTTTTTAGTATAATCGGAATCTAGTGATATATAATTTCCGGTAAAAAGAAATTGTGTACTTTTTAGGCCTAGCTGGAATTTCGAGAATCCGATTTCAACTTTTTTTTGAATCTTAAAAATATCGTTTTCGTTTGACCTCATTTTTAGCTGCATCCAAAAATGTGTTTTCAACAATTAGCTTGATCATCCATAATACAGTTCTTATTCTAATAGACTCCCATCCGAACTTTGAGCTCAATTATTTCGATTTCTGTCAAAGATGTTGAAAATTTCTCAACTGATAAACTATGTATCACAATATATAACTAATGTTTTATCAGTTCTCAATTTTTTTATATCTTTTACAGGAACTAAGATAATTAATATCAATGTCGACAATTTGAGGGGGTGTCTTTTCGAGGGAAACCGGTAGTCAGCGACCTGTCACACAGACTTTATGACTATTAAGTTGTCAATATATGACATTTAGTTTTGAACTAATCTGGATTTATCCGGTTCAGGGTACTTTTTCCGTGGACCCTCTGAATACTTTTAAACCAAATAATTGAAATGAGTGACAGATACCGTGAATACTGTGCTCTCAAGTTTGAGCTCGATTATCTCACTCACTATGCAAGATGTCAAAACTGTGCCAACTAATAAAATGTTTATGAGATTATGGTAAACAATTTAGCAGTTGACAACGTTTTTATAGCTTTGACAGGAACCGAGAAAAATCGGCTCGAAATGTGAAGGGCGCCTTTATATTACAGGTTTTACGGTATTCCAAGAGATGGATAACAACGAAATATTGCGAAAAAATAAAGCAAATAATTGAATTAGAACTGTTGTGGTATTTAGCTATTTTTTTTTTGGAATGCTTCGATTTCAAATCTCCAGTTTAAGGTTCAAAAGATCGTTTGAACTAATTTCTCTTTCTGGTAGCATTTCCTACACCCGATTCTAAGCAACTATCTAACTTCATGCCAAGTTCTTGATTCAATATTTATCCATCCAGATTTCTTTTTCTCTTTCTCATATCATATGGACCCTCACTCATTATTTCTGACAACAACGTTCTCCTCCTGCCTATGGTATTCAGGTAAACAAACGAAATTGAAGCAAAAGGAAGAATAGAAAGACGTGGTGCATGTTAGATTGCCATTGGAGAACACTGAATTATCCTTTCTTGCTCTCAGTGTCACCTCCTGAATAAGTGTATAGTATGTTTACCTTTCTGTCATCAACGTCTTCCTTTCTCGTCATCATCATCATCATCGTTTTTCACGAATTCTGAGCAATTATTCTGCTGGAGCCATGAGCAGTGAGACCTTCCTGTAAACCTGCAAAAACTTGAAAAACTACTACTAGTTGTGGGTGAGTTGGGTGACTTGGCGACCTGAAGAGGTCTTCATGTGGTTCTCAATGACAAATGGTTCTATGTGACGGGTGGCGCCAAAACTTCCCCATATATACATAGTAGTATCTCGATTTATGTAGTGTAGACCTCTTCTTTTTACTCTTTCCCGGTTTTTTTCATTGCTCTGAAGTGTTCTTGATTTTTAAATATCATGTTGAAAAAAAACATTGAGTGCTCCTCTTCAAAACTCCTCGTTTATTCATCTTCTTTAGCTCCTCTTTTCTTTTCCACCACTAAAATAATACAATTAAAATGAAATAATACTTTTGAAAAGTCTGGAGAAAATTAGTGAGATAGAATTGGGTTGAGTGGAGTGTGTCAGAGTGCCATGGACATGTCTAATAGTCATCATAAGAGAGAAAGAGTTCATACTTCTTATTCAGAGTTCACATATCCCTATCTCTTCTTCTTCTTCTTCTGGAGCTCTCGATTCTAGATCTCACTTGCACACACACACGTATGTCGTTGTCTTTTCCTTCTTTTTCCGACGTATTCTTTTCGAATCGCTTTGTTTTATTCTTATTATAACACTTGAATTCCTACGCAAGTCTATGTCTCATATTCAATCTATAATTTTTTTCTGGAAATTAAAATGATATTAATTAATTTTTTGGAGAGGTCTTTGAAGTCTGAGATCAAACATTCAGGAAACGGATTGTGATCTCTGCCTGGATTCTTGAACTGAAACATCTGAAATAAAAACTCCTTCTAATACTCTCCTACAGTAAAACCTCTAATAGAAGGGCCCTCTAACTTTTGAGCCAATTTATCTCGATTCTCGTGAAAGATATCAAAAAGTTGTCCACTGATAAATTGTTTATCATAATATCAGAAATGCTTTTTCAGTTGACATATTTTTGCTACCTTGCATATGGTCCAAGATAAAATTGCTCAAACAAAGAGGGCCCTTCTATGACAGGTTTTTTTTTCTTTTTAACTTCAAAATCTATCTGAAATGGCTAATTCCTTCTATCTTTTTTTTTGCTAAATATTATCCAGCATTCTATTTCCTTAACCTATCACTTTATCATAAAATGATTTCAGAATACGGTCCAGCTTCTCACCATAAGCAGCGCCTTCTCTTTCTGGATGAAACTCCCGGTGGATAGCGGTTGAATGTGATTGCTACCTCTGGCTCCTGAGCACAATAAATCTCAGTTTCAGTAATTAGTTTTCATCTATCAAAATGAAACAATTTGTGGCAGTACCAGCAACCAGTCGGAGCGGCACGATGAAGCAACCACTCATCGGAACATTCATCGCTCCACCGCCAATTCCACCGTAAGATTTTTATACAAATCTGGCATAAATTAAGCTAAATGTTTGAAAACTCTTGATACCGTATCCGATCAGATTTCCACTTATTCTTCAGTTTTTTTTGATTCCTGACTCCTGAATTCCTAATTTTTCATTTAAAGAAATTTTCATACAATTTCATAGCTTTTGTGGTCCACTGCCAGAGACAGTGACACAATTGTTTCGACGTCGAAAACAAGAGAGAAAACGATGAAGAGTTCAACGAATGTGAGGAATTAGAAACTGTGCACCTAAATGTCAATAGAAAGAACATTGACTTATTACTATTACTAAGTCTTTATTAAATATAATTATAGAGAAAAGGTTAGCGAAAGATGACTTGAGGTCATCTCAAAGATAAGAGAGAATTAATGTGACATGTTTGAGCAGGTGACTTGAACTTGGCGCCGGAGAAGCGTGTTGTTGGTGGAGTGTACGCACGAGACGCTTCAAACTGGTGACGTTGGCGGGGGTTTGAATGCAGACCGTTGGGGTGTAAAAGATCTGAAGAAACCTGAAAGAACATTAGAGAGGATTTTCCTCATTTGAGATTAAAGACTCGTGGAATATGTGATATTCCACGACAATAGCCACCCCCATGCGTAGTAATAGATAGAACATAGAGCGGTGTCCGTCGGGCTGGCGACGAATAAATAATAACATAAAATAGGCGAAAGACGAGATGAATTGAAGAAGAGACAAGGATGTAATAGAGTCCCCGTGAGCATTTTTTGGACACATTCTGTTGGGTGCTCCTGTGAGACGAAGGATCTTTAAAAAGGCGTCATGAGCTATATGAATGACTATTTGACGCCTTTGATAATGCCCAATCTGTTTGCTCATCGCTATGAGTGAGTTTTTAAACATCCTAACTACCATAGTTTTTTTGGCCCATGAAAAATTAGTTATATCTTTCGATAACTGAAAAAAATTGTCTGACTATGGTCTCAGAATAAGTCCGATAGATCTGAATAAAAAAAATAAGTCCGATAGCTCTGAATAACACTGTATCGTATGAATTCGCTCATTTTTTATCTCGGTTATTGAGATAGACTTTGTTTAGAAAAATTATACAAACTAATATTTTTTTAATGCCAATTAATCATTAGGTGCTTAATTAAGTTCTGGAACCTCAGAAATAAAACTACTCATACGGAATCAGGTTCTCATTTTGTTTTGGGTCCATGCGTCCGGCTTCGAATAAAACTCTAATAATAAGATAGTAATCTTATCATTTTCAGAAGAATTGTTCGAAACAATTGAAATCAATCGAAACTACTGTAAACATCCAAAAGTTTAAGGTTAAAATGAATCTTCTGGGTTGATAAATCATAAGAAATTCACCTTAAAATCTGTAAAAGAACGGCCTTAGAATTCTTTTGTACCTTTCGTCCAAACTTAAAAATTGAAACATCTACTTAACCAGTCACCTTAAAACTTGTAATAGAAGGGCATCACAGGCTGTCAAGTTTGAGCTTACTTATCTCAATTTCTATGCAAGATATACAAATGTTAGAATACAGGTTTTACGGTATTAACATATACACGTTTTGGGCTTTAAAACTAACTTCTAATGATTATTTTTCAGATCACTACCACAGAGTTACCGCGAATCGGACTTTTCGAACCGGAATTCGATGCACACAGCTAGATCAACACGTCTTGAAGAGTCAGTTTTTCTTCCGTTTTCTTTTTTGGATCTTGTCCTTTTTGACGGCTCTTCGTTGTCGTCTCTCACTCGCTTATTCAATAATCAGTTTACTACTTCTGTGCCCGTTTCGAACAACTCCCGACTCCAAAAAGTTTTTGGGTCGGGAGCCTCCGCGCGATGCTCTTCGACAGAGGGAGTTCTGACAATTTAATCCAGACATTTATATGTCGCCGGAACATTATTTTTTCTGGTGGTTCTCCGCCCGTTTTATCGATATTTCATGTTTTTATTTTCTGGAGCTATTCTTAACAGTTATTGTATTCCACTCGAGAGCACTTGCTCACATCATTTATCGAGTACTTACCCAATACATACACCCATGCTTCAAAAGTCAAAAAAAGAAGAGAATAACGCTGAAAGAAACAGTGAGTAGAAAAGTTGAGTGTGATGAACGAAACGAAACAGGCGGTATAGTTATGAATAAACTATTGGCACGCACTTTGCGCCCAGGGGCATCCGACAACTACCACCATCACAATGAAAGCAACGAAGCTTGCAAAGCACTTTTTGTTTCTATTTTTCATCATCCGAGACACTCTCGATCTATCCTTTTTCACACTTTTCATTGACTAGATTATACTTTTTAATTATCATGACAAAGTTTGATTTGAGAATTTCTTCCGGGGAGTATGGTAGAAATTTTTTAAAAAGTCAAATGAGTCTACCTTTCAAATCAGTTCGTTTTTTTGGTCAGATTTTTAATAATACAACTTTTTGAAGAGCCCTCGAAAAAAATTAAGACATTCCATGAATATATGTACAGTATTACTTTTTAAATATCTCTTCAAACCATACTTGTGGGCCGGACCTGATTTTGCGAGCACCTTGTTTTTACAAGTATGATCAAAAAGTTTAGTATAAGTACAGTAGCGGACGAAAATACATTTGATATTTTCAGTGGAAAATAGTTATCTTCGAAATTCTGAAAAAAAACCTAGAATTTTTCAATTTGTCTCTAAAAATTTCAGAAGATACTAAACCAAAATATATTCATTTTGGAATTGTTAGTTTTTTTTTGGTGGGCCACTCCTAAAAAACTAAAAAAAACTAAACTAAAAAAAAATTCGGGTCAATCGAAAAATTTTGACCCTATTCTAACGAAAAATAAAAAGTTATTTTTGTCCGGCACTGTATTCGAAAATAAATAGATGAAATTTCTTCCAGAAAAAAACGTTTTTCTGAAAAATCCATGATCCTACACCAGACCACTGCTTATCTCTCGAGCAACAACTGACAAACTGAAGGAACATTTCCCAGCGACATCCATCTGTTTTATAGACACCCGTTGTCTTGTTTCTATCTCTCGTGTGGCTTATCACCACTGGACACAACTATGATTTTATCAAAATGTCATCGCACCGCCACTAAAGATTGAGCCTTCTCATTTGTTACGTCACCTGAGAATCACATTCCATTGTTATTGTTTTGTAACTGAGAGTACCACCTCAAGCATCTGACCGGGGTATTCAGTTTGATTCAACTCTTTACGTTAACTATCAGATTCTAACGATTTTTATAATTTTTCATGTAGATTTGTTTTTTTTCTCATTTTTTCATCATATTCTTTTTTTAATTTTCTCTCTCTACGTCATCGTTTGACATCTTCCGGACGACGCATCAACGCTCTCAGTTCACTCAATTATTCACATTTTGACTGGACTGGCGGCGTCTTCGAAGTCCGAAATGTGCCTGAAAAAGTGTCCGAGATACGAGGGGAAAAAAGAAGAAAAGGTGGATATAGAATTGAAAAAAAGAAGAAGAAGAAAGAAATGGGGAAAACGATGAACGGCTCTAAATTCATATTCCTATCCGTTTTTATTTTTGGATAACTCAAAAAATGTATAGGTTGTAGATGATGCAGTTCACTTTGAATGCAACCTTTTGAATATTTTCTGAAACTTTCAGTTCGGAAGATAACTTAATTTTCATTAATTACTGTAAAACATGTGAACAATAGCTCCCACACAAGTTTGAGCTAAATTATCTCAATTCCTATGCAAGATATCGAAAATGTGTGAACTGGTAAAGTATTCTTATATCTTTGACGGAAACTGAGAAAAATTCGCTCAAAGTTAAAAGTTACGGATCTCGTTTATTACAGGTCCTACGGTATAATTTTTAAAAATAATTTTTCGTTTTCGAATGAAAGAAAATTATTTCAGAATCAATTTTGTCTAGACAAAACGTCATTGAAAGTTCAAAAACTTTGTTTATTTCTCTCGCTGAACGCCTTTTTTCCCTCTTTACCTCTACCCAATTATTCTCTTCTAAAGTGGTTATATTCTTTTACCCACATTTTGAGTTCCCGTTATGTTCCAATTTGTTGTGTGTGTGTGTCGTTTTGAAAAGAGTTTTTAAAAGTCTCCATTTAAATACCTTCTTCTTCTTCGTCATTTTCGGTTTTCAAAACGAACATTACCACTTTGCACTTTTGGACCACAAAATTAGTTTAGTTATGTGCTCTACACATTTTGAAGCTCTTTTTCTTCTGTGTCTCAGTTTCCTTCTGTTCTAGAAGTTTAGAAATCTTTTATAGGCGCGAATCATTTGCTAGATTACTAACTTCACAAAGATCTTTTAAGCATCGATGTCTGAGCCAATGTACTAATTTTCCCACAATATCGGTGAAGTCTGGTGAGTGACTCCCCCAACTTCTGATATTGAAACCCAATCCGTTTGGTGAAACATGCTCTGCGTCTCTTAGTCTTCTATATTCTTTTATTTCAACCACTCCTTCACCTTCTTTCCGGTAGAATCAATCCCAGTCCAAGAGCAAGATGTTGCGCATCTTTAGTTCAACTTTGAACACTTTTTACTGATTGATGGTGTTGTTTTTTGAATTTGGTTTAAAAAGAGTAATCTTGTTCATAAACAGATAGTAGTTATTCGATTCTCTAATTTGCTTGCTCGATTTTTTTGGAGCATCTGATTTTCTACTTTTAGTGGCTTTTATGGGATTTAAGTGGAGTTAAACAATAACCGCATCTTATCAACTAGCTCATAACATATTTTAACAAACATATTCTTCCTCAACTCCAATAAGAAGCGTTCGAGACTTATTATAACGTATTTTTCACTTGATCTCTTTAAATCATCTTTCTCTGTAACACTCTCGGTATATCTGAATGAATTCAGTAGTCGGCGTCTCCATTATGTTCGAAACTTGGCGAACAATCAGACTACAAGGATAGATCACCTACAACGACGATGTTCGCACGCGCCAAGTTCGCCCATCACATCTATCGGCGGTAAGTTTCCATGTACAATCAATATCATCATTCTATACTAGATGAAAATCAGAAAGACAAAGAGACAAGAGTGAAACCGTGCTTCCGTGGCGCACTAGGCAGCGCGTTCGGATGTTAACCGAAAGGTTGGTGGTTCGAGCCTACCCGCGAGCGAAACCTTTTTTAATTTTTAATTTTTTGTGTCATGAACTACGTGACTTCGAACAACACTTGTACGATGCCCCAAGGCAGTTTAGGAATTCCACACTGGATTACGATTTAGATTCAGACTCGCTCCTCGTCTTCCCCCATTCTGTTTTTTTACTTCTCAAAAAATATTCGTAAGATGCCATCCTGTTCTACCATGACCACCACTGTAACCCCTATCCTCACAATAATTCCAAAGTTCTCGGAAGTACAACGGTCTAATCGGATATTTAAAACTAAGAGGGAGCAGATGAAGAAAAAAATTGGCCCGAGAATGAAAATAGCTAATGGGATACCTAAAACTGAAAATGTTCTCAATGGTCCATGGGATCAGAAATATCGAAAAATGAGACTATCTGTGAGTTATCTGGAGGCATTGTTTCCTGCGTCGGTGCAGCAGATGGAGCAGATGAGGAGGAATGAGAGAAAGTGAGTTTTTTTTCTGAATGTCTGTGTCCATTTTCAAGCAAACTTTGATACTGTATTCCCTCGTTGGTGCTAACATGTAGAGGCAGGTGTCGGCCTCTGACCTTTCCAAAAATAAAGGATTTTACTTATCCAAACTAAAAAAATACTTTGGTCGGTGGTCGTGGTCCCTTTCACGAATTCTTGAGCTGGTTATGCAAATCCATGCCTATTGTCTGTTCTGCTACTTTTTCTGTTATCCTCTGGACTCATCGTCTACTCGAGACTTGACTCCACATATTTTTCGAGTAGCCGTTGTCTTTGGAAAAGTCGAAGGGCGCCGAAAAGTTGCGTATTTGTCTGAGAAGGATGTGTGAAGAAGAATGGGAAGGAAGAAAAGGAGACGCACTCTAGCCACACACAAATACAAACACAAATACACACTCATATTCATACCCAGATTCCTCCGGGGACGGACGGCGGGCCCAAGAGTTTCTGGTGGTGGTGCAGGACCAAGACGGCGACGCCAAGGCAAGGAAGAACGAAAAAGTGGGCGGCGCCAGGTCAAGTCGCCAAAAGATACCCCCCCCCCCGTCTATTCTTGTGAGAAGAAGAGACGGGCGGGAGGGTGAAGAAGACCACGCCTACCCTTTTCTACCCACAGATTTATTCTTGAACCAGAAACATGACTCAATTTTTATTGTTTTTCAAATTTTACAAACTTTTTGTAGTTCTTTCATTGCTAGGTGACCAAAAAACACTGTTTTTTTGTTGATGCCTAGTCTCATGATCCTTCTCAACGGAAAGTTTCATGACCTCACTTGTTCCGTTTGTTTTTCCGACGTTTTCATTTAAGAATTCGGCGAGTTCTCGTTCAAAATTCAGTTTCCGAAAGTCGCAAGTTTTTGAGAACAAACGAGTGCTTAATCAGTGAATTTCTATGCCCTTCTGTTAGAGGGATCCTCCTATTAAAAGGGCCCTTCTAAAACAGGTGCTACGGTATTTGAAATTTCAGTAATCTGCACCGTGGATATGTAATTTTGTGAACACAGCATCCTTCATGTTAGCCGAAATAAGATATAGTATTTCTAGTGGCCGAGTTATTGACTTGATTAATGAAATTAGTTCAGATGGGCACATATGTTCATATTACTCAATAACGTTCTCTTGTATAAAAGAAGTTCAAAATTGTTCTTTTTGTAGATTAGTTTTTCGCAGCTGACTTCAAATGTTTCATGTGTCTAGAACAGCATAGCTATGAGTTCAAGTTTTCTAAACCTAAAAAGTGCCTTACCTACAAAAAACATGAAAAATATAATAACTTCTTCTTCCATATATCCTTCCGTTCCACTTCATCTCTTCCGTTTCAATTTTTTGGGATATTCCATTTCTGCAAAAGTTCGTTTCTCCATTTTTTTGCGGTAGTGGTCCACATCCAAAAGGAATAAGTGTGCCAATCTTGCTTCTCAAAATATTGCCTCCTCCTTTCCTTCTTCTTCTTCTTCTTCTTCTTCACATCTATCCTCTCAATCAGATTAGCGAGTGTTTCATATCCTCAAGTCAGTCAAACTCTTTTCGATATGAACCGCCTTAAGGGGGGCCCTCTTCTCCATATCTGATTATCCAGACGTCGACGAGCACTGCTCTTTTTATGCACTTTCTGCTGATGCAGCTCCCCATATTGTTTGGAAAAAGAATAGAGATGGCGGTCGGGTTGACGGATAAACGTATAATTTTTGGTTGGACGGATTCAGGACAGAGAATTCCGAATTAGCGGAATTGAAATTTTCGGAGGAATTCGAAAGGATGAGGATGGCTCCAATCTCTGTTCTAGGGAGGATGATGAGCTCTAACAAGATTTTATCGAATCGTTTGGAGAAATAGTTGGAGACAATTGAACATTTCGAACGTTTCCAAAAGAACACCAGTTTGCTTTTGGCTCCCATTGTCTAGATCTTTTGTTGAACAACTGTATATACTTTTTCTAATAAAATTCTTTAACTGGTCCCTAAATTATCTGACCATCGAATCATTGCCCGTGCTCTGATCTTCTTCTCCCCCTCCGTACAACGTTATCACCCATAAAACTATTTTTATTCTGCTCTCTGCTCAGACTCCATCACCAATCACTTCCTTCCTTCATCCACTACATCCGCACTTTCCCTATCATTTCTTTCAATGCATCGATTCACATGCGGATGAGAAGCCGAAAGCCCACCATTGACAAAAGCAACAAAGACGAGAAGACCGACGACGACGACCATCCGAACATCTCATCGAAAAAGACAAGAAGGCGAAGAAGGCGAAGTAGCAGTCGACGGCGTTCACGTCGCACGGCGACTGACGTCGTCGTCGTCGTCGCTGAAAACGTAGAAAAAGAAGAAGAAGTAGTGAATCTAGAAGCAGAAGATGTTGAATCCAATGTATATGAAGCATCGGGCGTCGACACCCAATCCACAAGTGTCATGTCAGCCATCAACGTCATCTTTTCAACGACACCATCGCCCTTCGTCACCTGGGATTTCCCTAGGCCCTCCTTCATCCCCACCATCTCTCTATAACCTACAACAAATTGCTTCAGCAACTGCGGTAGATCAGCAGAATAATAACGATGTTGAAGAACTCAGGTAAGTTCTTTTCGATATTGGACTCTTTGGTTATCGATGAATTTTCTTCCCCTTTTTTTCTCAAAAAAGGGGACCTTCGGGTGGGGATTCAGACTAAAACTTTGCACCCAAATAACTTTCCACATGAGTCCTCTTCTCGGCCCGTAACTTAAAAGCTGGAGAGAGATGCTAACCTCTTGAATAATTCGAGAGTCATGTCTCTCTGTATTCTCACACTTTTACCACCCATTATTCCTTTTCCCCATTTTCCTAGTATTTTACCTTTCCTCTTTATCTCTTCTCTATATGCACGTCCAAGGAAGACTATCAGCTCAGTTTTTCGATGCTTACAATGCGTCGAGATTTCGTTTAAGTGAACATTAGTAAGTTTTATATTTGAACTATGAAGTGATGACGAATAGATGATAAAAATATATGACTAGCACCTGTTTAGAAGCACTTGTTTATTGCCCCGGTTTATTCTGGTCCAAATGACTGATTTGATGGGATAGGGGTGCGTCAGTTAAAAATATATGTACTAGGGAAACGAGTGAGAAAGATGATGAATTCGTATAGACTTCAAAGTTTTGGGATCAATTTTTATGAACATTTATTAGCAAAGAGATGAAACGGGAAATGAATTACTGAACACGGAGAATCATAAGCCAGAAAATGAAAAATTGTTCATAGAATCGGAAAAAGTCAGAGGATCTCAGGAGCCAGTCAAAGATACTGTAATACCTGTAATAGAAGGGTCCACTAACTTTTAACTTTGAGCCCATATATCTCGGTTCATGTAACAGATATAAAATAATGGTCAACTGATAAAATGTTTATCAAAATGTCAGAAATGTTTTATCAATTGACACATTTTTGATATCTTTCATAGGAAGCAGAAAAATTATTTTAAACTCGACATATGGATGCCCTTCTGTTACAGGTTTTACGGTAATTTGTTCATAGAACTTAAAAATATGTCCGAACATTTCAGAACCCTTGTCAAAGAAAGATTATTTGAATGTTCCGTTAGAATTTTTGAAAATAGTCTATGCACGAATGCCCTTCCATAACTCTTCTCCGATTCATGGACCTCCCTCAATTGGTCCATAAAAACGGGAAAACCAGTGTCGCCGCTAATCCCAGAACTCTTTACTCGAGAAAAAAAAGTAGTATGGTAATAATTCAAAAATTTGGCGTCGATCGGCTCCACCGGACATCACTTTCAATTTCTCGCGTCTCTATCACTCTCTGGTCTATTTTCTGTTCACTTCTACTACTAATGGCCATGACAGAGAGGCCTTTTTCCTCGCTTGTTTCCTTCATGTTCCTCGTTGTCTTCTCTGCGTGCTGCGCGAAAAAGTGTCGAGTGAGTGATGCGTCGAACTCTTTTTTCCCCTTGTCTTCTCTCTTGGCGCCCCCCACGGTGCGCCAATAATCCGGAGAGGAGTGGGGTCCGGAGTGAGAACATAAAAAAAGGAACAAGAAAAAGTTAGAAGACGAGAAAAAGACAAAACAACATATATTGTGGCATCGTTTTGAGAAGAGCATCGAGAAGAAGGAATGCAACTCTTTCAGGAAACATATGTTATTGGGGTTGATATTGAAAAAAAAACAGGGATCTCGAATGAAACAGTAGAGATGAGTAGTTAATAATTGTTAATTTTTTCAGTGCGGAACGGCTAAATCTCTACTTGGATAAACAGGAAGGTGAAATCGAAAATCTAGATGAGGAGATCGATGAGTCGACGGAGAAGAAATGGTGGTTGAGAACAAAAAGGGTGAGTTGATTTTCAAAGTTTTGTTCGTCCAGGTAAAATCAACTTTTTGCAACATCCTACTTTCTCCAAAAAGATAAGCAGAAGAATACGTTTTTGGGATCATTTTTAACATGTCGGTCACATCCAAATGTTGAAACATCTACTCAATCAGTTACCGTATTTCCTCTAATAGACGCCCAACCAAACCTTTAACTTTCAACTCGATCATCTCACTATCAGTTTTTTAAAGAGATATAAAAAAACTGTCAACTGCTAAAATATTGACAATATTATGATAAACAGTTTATCAATTGGCATCTTTTTCATATCTTTCACTGAAATCGAGATAATTGAGCTCGAACTTGACAGTGGGAGTGCTCTTCTATTACAGGTACTACGGTATATGTAGCTCTTTACCGATATAAGGTATAATGCCAATCTCAGTTCTCTCCCAAATTTGGTATAATCTAACCTCCCGGCTTTTTCTGACATCTTTTTGACCACATCAACTTTTTACCCTTCTCAAAAACGGAATGTCGGGTGGTCTTCTCTTTTCCTTTTTTGCGTCTATCCTCGCAGATATGGAAGAGCAAGACCAAAAAGGGGGATCTCTTCAATTTTTGCACCCGAAAAAACGAGAAGAAGAGAGAGAAAAGAGGGTCAAAAGCGACTTGCGGTTGTCTTTCTCATCGGCAATCCCCCGAGGGACTATCACTTCCCGGCAATCGTCTGATTAGATACTGTAGAAGACATAAGAGACGCAGATAAGTGACGTCCAAGAAATGCTTTTGGCAATATAGAAGAGGGTGAAAAAGTGAAGAATCGGAAGAAATCTTACGAGGGTATCGAGGCAACTCTTTTTTTTTCGATATCAAAGAAATTATTGAAGTAGAGATTCAAAAAGATGAAATGGGAGAAGGGAGATATGGGAGAGGAGATATACCAAACAGCACCGATCTATGATTTTTGAGTAGAAATATCTCATGAAATGATTTTCAGCTTTTTGTGGATCTGGAAATTTTGAAGAAAAAAAAGTAACAGTGACGAGATTGGTGTATTATAGTTTAGATGACATCCAATGATTATACCGTATTTCTTCTGATAGAAGCCCTTCCAAATCGTCAACTTTGAGTCCATATATCTCTATTTCTGTAAAAGATATAAAAAAGTGGTCAACAGGCAAAATGTTTATCATAATTTCAAAAATATTTTGGCAGTTAACCACGTTTTGATAACTTTTACAGGAATCGAGATAATTTAGCTCAAAGTTGACGGTTTAGGTGGGCTCCTATAGAGGAAATACGGTAGTTTAGAAGACATCAAATTATTATAGCTAATATTGATAAACTGCAAATAAATAGAATAAAGAAAAAAATGGTCTTCAGATGTCTAAAATATTAGGATTATAAAAACAATTGATTTCAGTGGTTTCGTCTGGCACTTCCTCACTTTGGACTCGTACTTCTGTCGATTGGGTACACACTGATTGGAGCGTTTTGTTTTCATCATGTGAGTTTTTTTTTCTATTTGCACAATCCAAACACCTTCTTGTGGTCCAGACGAGTAATGCAAACAAAGTTATGTACACTGATAGCTTATCAGTGAAAACCTAGTCATGTCAACGCTTTGTGTAGAAACATCTAGGCAAACTAATGTATGAGATATCGTGCTTCCGTGGCGCAATAGGCAGCGCGTTCGGCTGTTAACCGAAAGGTTGGTGGTTCGAGCCCACCCGGGAGCGAAATGTTTTGGCTTTTTTCGTTCAATTCCTCATGCTGAAAATTCAAATTTTACTGTAATAAATTCATCAATGCAACACTTTTTCAGTACGAAAAACCGTACGAACAGCAGCTTCGAAATGAAACATCCCTCAGGATAGGAGCCCTTAAAAATCGAGTGATGGACCAATTGTGGAGGATGAGCAATAACGGAACGGCATACTCAACGTGGAGGCAGACTGCAAATGATGGGTAAGTTCCAAATTCCATTGAAATAGCAAAATTTTGAATTCCTACAAAATTGTTCAAAAAGTGTTCTAAACGATATTTTCAATTTTTCAGAATGGATGAACTGATTCGAGACGTCTTCTGGGATTATACAAGGAATTACATGACACCTGATGATGTGATATATGGAGATGGTCCAATCAAATGGTCTTTCATGTCGAGTATTTTCTTTTCATGGACAGCCATCACAACGATAGGTAAACATTTTTCCTGATGGGCCTGATAGGCATAAATTAGAACCGGAAGTTACCCATAAAAAGCTTAACTTGAGAATTGATTACTGAAATTGATAAACATGAATCCTTTCTACCAATTGAACCAAATTAATCTTTCTCTGCGTCTCTCACTTCATCAAACTATTTTGCGTGTCTCGCGGGAACACTTTCGGAGCACTTATGCTATCTGACAAAATCAAGAGAAAAAGCCGACACAGAAAAGACAATAGAATGTAGAAACATTGACATTCATGATGAGACAATTCGAAGTGAAATACATTTTGGGAACAACTCGATTGATTTACTACCACTTTGGTACCCCTCATAGAATGGGAAATGAGAAAGAAGAGGGAAACATAAGGTCAGATTTTGGGAATAGATTTGAGAACATGAACTTGGAAAGGGGTAAAGTGAGCAGATGAAGAAGTGAGAGAGGTTTAGATGGGTATTGCATGAAATACAGTATACTGTGAACACTCTAATAAAATGCCTACCAACTTTAAGCCGACTTCTATAAGAGAATATACGGTAAGTAGAATCATGATCAGTCCAAGAATGAAGAACTATTTCAGAAAATGGGATAAATTTACTAGACTTGAGACTCCAAAAAAAGTAATGTTTAAATGGTGCACTTTAACAGTTGATAGTTTTTATACCTTGGACTGGAATCGAGATAATTGAGCTCAAAGTGATTTGGGTGGCCTTCTCATCAGGGACCGATGAATTCTTTTGGGAAGTGGGATGAATGTACATACTAGGCTTGAGGCTCCAAGAAATACATGGTCACAATAAACGAAAATCGCTTTTAAAATAGGAAAGTATTGGATACTGAAAATCTCATAAAATTAAATTCCAGGATACGGTCACATTGTACCAAGAACAGATGAAGGTCGTGTCGCAATCATCTTCTATGCCCTTCTCGGTATTCCTCTGATTCTCGTCACCATTGCTGATATCGGTCGATTTCTTGCCAGTAAGTCTATATCACATTTCTATTGCTTTTTCTCTCTCACCACATCCCTCCCCCGTTTTGCTTTCCAGCTTACATCATCAAATTGCACCACGGCTACATGGCAGTCATGTCTTTTATCACGAATTCATGTTTGAAGTGTATCAAATGGGCGTGTTGTTGGATACGACTACCCCGTCGTCACATTCCAATGCCAACTTTAGAACTGTTGCAAAGGACACAGAAGCTGTATCCGAATAATAATCCGACGGTGGCTGCGACAGCGGCAAGTGCCGGTGGTGGTACTGGAAGAAAGAAGAAACAACAAAGAGATAATGTCAGTGATGCTGGCACTTTTGATAGTGAGTTTTTCCAGTTGTCAGCACACAACTGATTTAAAATGTGATATGTTTTCAGATATCAGTGAAATCAACGATGGAAGCGAAGGCGGTGAGAATGAGAATGAGGGGGAGGAGGAAGAACAAGTGCAGTTTGATCCGTCGAATCATGAAAAACGAGTATCCGTTCTATTCATTCTACTTATTATGCTGGGTGAGACTTGATTTTCAAATACTTGCTACCGTAAGCACTGTAATAGAAGGCCCAAACGGTCAACTTGGACCCCATTTAATTTGGTTCCTCTGCAAAGTATCAAAAATGTGTCAACTGACAAAATGTTTATCATGATATCAGAAACATTTTATAAGTTAGTCAATTTTTTTTTGTATCTTTCACAGGAAATGAGATACAGTGCCGGTCAATAAGACATATAAAACCCCGTTTGTCGGTTAATTTTGGTCATTTTCAGGAGTATAGAGCTCGGCTATCAAGTGCCCGATCACTTTGACAATTTTGGAAATTATAAAACAAACCTAGGTTGAAACCTTTGCTTTCGCAAAATTATTTGAAAATTCCTAGTTTTCCAACTATTGGTCGATTTCTGAGATATACCTTGTTTTTCCCCGATTTTTGTACTGAAAATGTGGAAAACGTAGGTGTCTTTCAGAAATCGGCAAATACCTGAAAAACAAGGAATTTTCAAAAATTCTATAAATGCAAAGTTTTCAATCTAGGTCGGTTTATAACTTCCAAAAACTTCCAAAGTTACCGGAAACTTGACAGCCGAGCTCCAGACTTCTGAAAATGGTCAAAATCAACTGAAAATACGTTTTTGTATATCTTTTTGACCGGTATCTCGGTTCCTTTGCAATATATCAAAAATGTGACAACTGACAAAGCATTTCTGACATTATGAACAATTTATTAGTTTACCACTTTTTGATATATTTCCGAAGAAGCAAGATAAATTGGCTGAAAGTTAAAAGTAAAGGGTGGCGTTCTATAATTAGAGTGGAACCTCCTATGTTCTGAATTCAACCGAGCTAAGAAATATGTGATTGATTAACCTTAACAGTTAATTCTGAACATGCATATCTCTTAAATTTTCTCAAAAATTACCAAAATTTAGGTTACGTTGCGGGTGGTGCTTATATGGTTCGTTGGTGGGAGGAATGGACGTTTTTCGAAGCGTTCTACTTCTGTTTTGTTACGGTTACAACTATCGGTAAGCTCTGAACCATTAAGAAAAATAAAATAAATTTCAACTTCTAGGGTTCGGTGACATAGTGCCTGCGAATGTAGACTGGTTACCAGCAACACTTGCCTACATTGTTTTTGGACTTATCATCACAACAATGTGTATCGGTATGACTTTATTTCAAATACCCAATCATCTTTCTTATTTCAGATCTTGTTGGTAGTGAGTACATCCGAGATATCCACTTCTACGGTCGAAGCCTTGGTCGTCAGTTCATGACAATTGGTGGAAAAGTTGTCCATCTTGGAGAAGTGTTTGGATACGTGGCATTCCTCCAAAAGAACTACGGATTGACAGCTGAACAACTGACGAAACTGTCACAACTGCCAGAAGAATATCTGCTCGATTGTCTGATAAACGGAAGGCAGCCTGACTTGAACTGGATTGGAGGAAGGCCGTATGTACCGCCCGATATTTATTACTTCAAGTGGATTGAACATCCAAGGACACTTTCATTCGCTTCCGATCGTGTACTTCAGAGCATGGAAAGTCTAGATTTGAACACCAGCAGGTAAGACATAAGTCAATTATATTGTCTCAATCTTTCAATCTTTTTTTTAAGATGCTCCACCGCCCGAACGTTGACTCCTCGTGAATACTATCAGAAGATTCTCTTCCAATATTGCAAACAACTTCAACCAGAAGAGCCGATCGCCGACATCGATAATTGAAATACCGGTTTCTATGAATTATCTAGTCCCGTGGTCTTTCAAACCAAAACATCCAATTTCTAGAATTAAAAATTTACCCGTTTTTTGTATTCCAATCCCAACATGCTTTCTCCGATTGTGCCAAACTTTGATGAATTCAAAACTTTTATCGATCTTAGAATCTATTTCTTTTCATATTCCATCTACATATCCTTCTATCATAAATTATTTATTTATTTTAGGCCTTCTCAACTTTCTAGTTTCTTAAAATTTGATCACTCATGTCTTTTTAGATTGACCAATCCCCTTTAAAACTTCTTCCAAAATGTGATTCTTCCCGATGACTTCGTCTCAAGCTCATCTTATGATTTTTAAAATGTTTCTCTTGAAATAAAGAAAGTCATTTACTCAACCTTTTTCAGCTACTATAAAACAAATCGAGAAATTTTTTAAATTTAAAGAAGAATACAATAAAAAAGTTCCGTCACATGAAGAAGAATTGACTCCGTATCGAATAGCAATTTATTGAGGAAAAATGGAGAGTTCTTCTGAATCTGATAGAATTTTTCGTGACCATCGTCCTAATCCTCCTTGTAGAGATCGGCAACTCCGAATTGCTTGACTCCCTCCTCGAAAGGAATGTTGACGACCTGGAAAAAAGAAATTATTTCAAAAATTAATTATTTCCGACTTAAACTTTTCTATTTTCATTCAGTGACAAGAAGAATTTTCGACAAATGCCTCAAGGTCCAAAAGACAATTAAAAAGTATTCCTAATCATTGTTGCCTCCATAAATAAGCGATTTTCTATAAAAACGGGGTTTTGAGCTAATTTGAAGTCACAAAAACAGCTTTTCTTTGCAATTTAGCTCGCAAAAAACCATACTAGGAAACACGATCCTATGAAAAATGCGAGCTTCTCCTTCAAAAAATTATGCAGCTCACAAATCGAAAAAATGCTAAACTTTCCAAAATTTTTTCATGTGCGGGTGATGCTGCATTATTGTTATCGATAAACATTCTTCTATTCAGTGTTTTTGTCTTCAGCCCGGCAGCTTTACTCGGAAACTCGAGCAAACTCGCAATGGTTTTTAAACGTTTTGTCTACTTTTAAAAACCACCATACCTGCATTAGGTATCTCATTTCGTCCTTGGCAAGCCACTTCTTCTTCTTGGCGGCCTCCTCAGCGGCGGCAACAGCCTTCTCGTGCTCCCACTCACGGATGTCAGCGTGGTACTCACGGATTTGGCGGAGACGGAAGAATCCTGAAAATGGGTTCACTTGAGTAATGGGGTTGGAATATTGAATATGGTTTTGATTTTTCTTTATTCAGTTGTAAATTATGATTTTAACAGAGAAAATTGTTAATATTAATACATCGATATTGAAACATTTGATGAAAAAACTCACCATACACAACCCCAAGAGAGAGAGCTGCATAACGTCCGAAACGGATCAATGGTGAGATGGTCACCGTTGGTGGCTGAATAACCACAGTGTTCGGATGTTTGAGTGGAGCTGACATCTGCAAATTGTTGTATATTATCCTATTACTGGAAAGAACAATTAAGGAAGATTTCCAGCATATTTAAACATGAATAATGAGGAAAAAATAAAACCGAACTCAAAAATTCAAGAAAAAGCCTTGTTTTAATAATTTTAAAAACATTAAAAAATATGAAAATACACATTTAGCCGATTTGAAATTTTCTAGCAAAAAAATGTCAGATTTTTTGTCTGAAAATCACTAAAAACTTCAAAAGTCAGAAGCATATTGAGGACCGCGCGAGTAAAAAAATCCGCACAGTTGAAACGAATGACACAGTACTCCGTATCGCGGTGAGACCCGCGTTATTTCGGAGTGTCGTTGCAAGAATTTTTGGAAAAGTGACTTAAAAATTCAAAATCAAATAATGCAATAAGTAAGAATCCACCTCTTCTTTGTTTGTGAATCTTAAAACATGTCGAAAAAGTTGAATAGTTTAGTTATTAATTAATGAATTGCAGATGGCTGCCGCATCCGTTCGAGGGTTTTTCCAAAGGACTGGTACGAGTATCAAAGAGTATTTTCAACGAATGGGCAATGATTATGCAACCGTCGCCAGAGAAACAGCAGCAGGAGCTAAAGAACGACCTTTGAAAGCTGGTAATACTTTATTCATACCAGAAATACAAGAAAATGTTGAAGTTCAGGCATCGTGCTTTCCGGATTAGGTTTTCTTACCTACGCATACCGCACGAACCCGACGGAACTGGAAATGCTAGATTATTTGTGTGAAAGGCGGCAACAGATGGTTCTCGTGCCAAACACAGAGCATAACCCCACTACAAGTAAGATATTTTTCATTCCATACATTTCATCACATTTGTTCTAGCGAAAGAACTGGTTTCTCGAGATTTCCTCCTCAGCCAAAAACGTTTACATCACTACAACCTGTGGTTTTTCTCACTACTAGTAGCTGGCGATTACAACAAAAATCTGCGGATATATTCTTCTCAGGACTCAAATCTGAAAGATTGGCCATGGACTGAATTGTGGAGGAATATTGTTGACGTCGGAGCCCTCGGAAAATGGTATTGGATGGATAATGCATTCGTCGATTATGATATCAATACTGATGAAATTAATCTTTTACCCGATGATCAAAGATAGTTTCATTAGATTAGGTTAGACATTAGTTCGTATAGTTTAATTTGATACTGGTCCTTTTGTTTTCATGTGTTGTTTATTCTCGTTATAAAGTCAGTTTCTATCCGAATCGTTCCATTCACAAAGTCACAATGGCCTCTTGAATACTTTTTCTATCGTTTTCCTGCTTTTCTGATGCTAAATTACTAATTCAGATTATGGAAAATTATACCAAAATACTTGATGATGTTTGCGATCCTCTCACAGTCCGCAAGTTCGCAGAACAGGCTTCATTGTCGAGAAAAGACGCTATAAGGTAGAAATAGGAATATTACAACACTTTTCAATAGAATATTTCAGTGCGTTGGAAAAGTACATTGAAGCTAAAGGAGAGCCTGTCTGGGCCCTCTATGAAGTCAGTGGAGTTGTTGATTCTAGCGAATATCCTTTTCTTCCGGAAGGAGAGAATATACTTAAACATGTAGTTGTTCCTGGATCAGCGTTGGAGGAAACTAAGAAGAGATTTGATGAAGTTATCTCGACATGCTTGCATAGTATTCAACGTTCGAATCCCAAAGAAACTCGTGTCTATGGACGTTCGTGGGCAGATAATGACGACTTGCAAGGGAAAACTTTTTCAGTCCAATTTCAACCTAAGAAAGCTGTGGAAACCCCAATCGTCGAAGTGAAAAAGGAAAAAAGTGCAGAGCCCGAGCAAAAACCAAGTACTTATTCCACTTCTAATGCAAAGACTGATGCAAAGAAGGGTACCATCGTTCCACTCAAAAAACAAGCCAATATCAGCAGTATGTTCTCCAAAAAGAAGATTGCGGAAAAGGAGAAATCAGCATCCCCACCACCAGCCGAACCAGAGAAGAAGACTCGGAAGCGCCCTAAGATAGAGATAGATGAGCCAGAAGAACCAATGGAAGTTGTGGAAGAAGAGAGAACTCCTGAAAAGAAAACACCGTCTCGGCACAGCGACGATGATCTACCTTCCTCCAGAGAGCAGAGTGTGGAGAAGGAGAAGTCACCACCGGCTAAACGGCAAAAAAAGACAGTGAATGACGAAAATAAGAAGGCGAAGCGGCGATTGATAGTACCAGAATCGGACGAAGAAGAAGAAGAAGTCAAGAAACCTAAGAATGCTCGAATGGAGATAAACAAAGAAGAGAAATCGAAGAAGCCGGAGGAGCGTCGCAGAACGACTAGAATTGAAAAGATTGTGGAAACCTATGTCGACGAAGATGGGTATTTAGGTCAGTTTTTTATTCCTCTACTTGCGTATTCTGAATATATGCTTTTCAGTATCAAAGGAAGTTCAAAAGGCTGTCGAGTGCTCGCCACAGAAAGCATCACCAGAAAAGCCAAAAGCCAAAATGATCACCGCTCCGATTCCCGGCGCTGCAAAAGTCCCGAAGAAGAATTCTACGATCACTTCGTTCTTCAAAAAAGCATAAACCATCGATCATTTTTGTAATTATTCTAATCACTACTCGTCTTTATCATTCCCTTATTTTCTTTACACCAGTAGTAATTCCCCCTCCAGCTCATCGATCTTAATCTATTTCCTTTTGTGAATGTTTTATTATAAACGGAAGCCTTTGTGAGCTGAAGTCGTAAATTTCCAAAAGGTCCCAAAAGTGAAAATAGGTCCCAAAAGTGAAAAAAATAAATAGAGGTTTAACTACTTCTGCTCAGCGGAGTTAGAAGACTTCGTTATTCCAGATGCTTTGCTTCTCCCTTCAGCTTCCCAAAAAACCAACTTTTGAAGATTTCATCAAGTCCTTTATGTTAGTGCGACCACCCTGCCGATGTACTCTGATGAAGTAGACGTAATAGTAATATTCAGAAGAACATTACGAATTAATAATAGAAAAACACTCGACAGATTTATGCTCTTTGTGCAGCACAGAAATCTTCGTGTCCATCCATCCCCCTGTCTGCTCTTCGCACTTCGTGAGATGAGTGAGAGAAGATGGAAGAAAATGTGGAGGAAAAAGAAAAAAGCGGAGAAAACAAAATGCAATTGTGGTGATGGGTTCTTCTCGAGACAAGAAAAACGAAAAAAAAAGAAAACGAAGCAAAATGTTAGAGAAATAGCGGTGATGACAAGTGTTTCTTCACCCACAATCAATTTTTATTTTGGGGAGGTGGACTTCCAGAATTTATTATTTTGTTGTTGGTGTGTAGCTGATCAGAAGTAAAAAGTCTCAGATAAACTAGGTTAGGACTTCAAGAAGAACTCGGTGAACTTTGCTCCAACTGCACTTTGGGTTTTCTGTTCGTGTGAAAATCTAGACCTACTTCAATTTTCTGTTTCTCGAATTGCTCTGTTCTAATTTCAATGCAGGTTATGGCCAAAAATTCGAAAGTGGGCGGAGCTAAGGTCCGGTAGCGAAATTCTTAAAGAAGCATGTATATTTTGTAGTTGTTTTCTGGCCTATTTTTTTCCTATTTTTTATTTTTCATTGAATTTCGTTGTTTTTTCCGATAATTTTCATTTTTTTGCATTGTTTGCAATCGATTTTTTTTGCGATTACTCCGATTTTTGTTGTAAAAAGTTCAAAATCTAAGCAATTCGGTCAAAAATCGAAAAATAGTCCAAAAATAATTAGCTGATAAACATGCTCTTTGAATTTCGCTACCGGACCTAAGCTCCGCCCATCCTCGAATTTTCGGTCGTGACGCGCATTGATCATGATCTTTGTGTTAGGCTACTGTAAAATCGGATAGATTGTTCACAATTTGGAACGGGGCTCCGCTTGAACCCGTGACACTTCGAAACCAGTCATTTCGGAACAGTGGTTGTACATGCGAATGGATGAATTTTAGGCTAGAAAATCGATTTCAAATGTGCTTTTTTCTGATAGAACACATTCCGAAACTCGAAAAATTAATTGTTTAATTCGAAAAAATTAAATTTCGGTTTTTGTCGGATTACAGTTTGTGTTCTATCAAACTCTTCTTTGAATACCCTGAAATGGTTTTTAGTCTGAAATTTATCCATTCCCCTGTACCACTGTTTCGGAATGAACGGTTTTGAAATGACTGGTTTCGAAATGTCGCGGAGCCTGGAACTGGTATACGAGATGTCATGATACATTTTTTTTGGAAACTGAAGTCATTTTGTCTAAACGCTTACAACACAGTATTCCTTGAAAACCGGTTCTAAGCAATTAGTTGAAATCCTATTAGCTAATTTCTGATTCTGTTTCTTTCAGAGTACACACCCTCTAGAAATTGTACCAAAATCATATCATAAGGCCATATATGGTGAAATCAAATCAAAGACCAACTCTTTTTTCTGAAAGAACCCTCCACTTGTCAATCAGAAGAACGCAACAAGTTCGTATCGTCAGTCTACAGCGTTACTCATTTTTCTTTCCTCTTCTTTATCTTCCACCACCAACTTCATCTTTCTCTTCTGTTCTTTTTTCTTGTTTTTTTTATTTTCTACTTCATCAAGCTCCACCCTTTTCCCCAATTTGACCGATTGGATTCTTCCGAAACGAGCTTTTTGGCCTTTTTTATTTGGTACATTTTAGTCTGAATCTCCCGAATTCCTCTTTTATTTTCAGCTAATTCAGTTTCGAGACTGAAAAAACAAAAGGAAAATGGGACACAAGAATTATAGCCACAGCAGAATACGCTTTCTTCGGTTGTGTTTTGTTTTTGAAATTTCTGCAAACACCGATCAAAGCTCTAATTAGCAATTTTTTGAATTTTCTCTGACGTATGTAAAGGAAAACAGTTCAAAAAATGGCTGATAATCTGGGAGTCCAATTTGATTATATCCAAAGCTGACTCATAACCGTGAGAATATATTGTCAATAGATTAAAGTGCGTCGAAATGAACTTCGCCTGGGATTAATTAGGATAGTTTTAATAATCCTGCGATAGAATTAGAAACATATGTGCTCCAAGACTACTCCCAAGGGAAGCTATAAGTTGATCTTACAACACCAATTACAATAGCCAAAAAAAAGCTTAAACTTGAGGGTGTGGAGGTCCCTCTATGTATTACAGGTTTTACGGTATACCGTGCGAAAGAGCATGTTCCAGAACCTATTAACCCGTTATAAAAATTTCTTTAAAAGTGCTGTTTCAGTACCAAAATCACATTTTCAGTGAAAAATCTGAAATTTCCAAATGTGATTTTCCCCGAGTTTTCGTTCAAAATTCATGCAAATCTGTCAATGTCACCAAAATGGAGCAAGTTTTTGAACGAAAAATAGTGTTTCAACAATTTTCTTCGAAATTATGGGATTCCCCGGAATATTTTTCTTTGAAAATGTACGGAATCTTTTTTATTTCACATTTTGAAGGGGGTCCAGAGGGCCCTTCTATTTTTCCGAGCCCCTCTGGGTGGGCCCTTCCAATGCAGGTTTTACGGTAATTCTCTAAGTTCTAGAACCTCCTTTGAGTGGAGAAAAGCACATTTGAAAATTGCGATTTTTTGGTACTGAAACTGAAATTCCAGCCATCCTAGAAGTTTCTTGAGCAAACATTTGTGAACGGATTTACTGGTTCTGAAAGACGCCCTTTTTCGGCCGAAATATTCAATTTCTGCAGACCTCCTTTCTTTACCCCCATCCCATTTTTTGATGCTTCTGATCCCATAAAGAATACCCATGCACCAAAAAAAAAAGAGATTAATGAAAGTGTTCCTATCCTCCTCTGACTATTCAATTTATTTCCGGGACCCCGCTTCTCAATTTTTTTTTCTTCTTCTGCCTATTCCATCATCTACCAAACACAAACAATATCCATCTTTTCTCCGCCCGTTTCCACCGGCAATTCTTCATCCCTCTTTAGCCCCCATTTCCATCATTTCTTCTCCTTTTTTGCTGTGTTTGTCTTGATGACAAACGTTCGTCCCATTCATATTCCGTTTTTTTCGTTCGAGACTCGCTCCATGGAAATCCTCAGTCTCCGCCCTCTTTTTCGTTTCAAGAACAATTTGCGAAGAGTGCTTTCCTTTTCGTGCCTTTCCGATTTAGAATTTAGAAGGTTTCATGCATTCCGAATTAGATGAAAACCCTCTTTTCTTACCTTTGCATTTAGAAACAATTCCCAAAAATCTAGCTTCTCATAAAAAAGTTCTTTTTTTGCATTCCTGTCTGATTACTTTTCTCATGAATCTTTTCAAGGCTCCTCAAGCGCTATTTTGCAGAAGCCTTGAGTAGCCAGAGACAATCAACAAAAGATAATGTTGTTTTTGTTTTTTGGTTTTTTAACTTTCAATATATAAATAGAAATATAATTATTCTGTTCCCTCCTTCCCTTCTTCTGAATTTTCCCATGAATTCTGCTGACGCCGAAAAAGTTGAAAAGATGACCTCTATCCGAGCATGTCAATGAAAACTGACAGCTGAATGGACGCGGTGTTTTGGATATTGGAAAAAAACGGATAGAGGAAACGAAAACTTTAATTCGAAGAGGCACTTTTCTCACAAAGTTCGCAAACTTAAAGGATCAGCTGATGTCTCTAAAAGAAACAAAAATCGACACCCTTAGTTTCTCAGTCTGGGAACTTCTTTGTAACCTTGCCAAATTTCGAATTATCTCAAATAGTATTTTCAACGTCATCTCTTTCTTTTCTAAATCTGCTCTTTGAGCACTAACATTCATCTCAATTTCCAGTCCGTGAGAAAATAATTCAAGTACTCACGGTATTTCAAACCAACGGGTCGAAAATCGCGCACGAGATGACTTTGAGGCGAGGGGGAGTTTGATAATTTAAAAGTTGGCGGGGAGTTGACCTAAATATTTTTAATCAACGCATTGCAACTCGCGATTTTTTCGCCCAACGTTTAAAAGTTTGATCTTCAGCCAAAGAAAATTGGACACGTTGCGCAGTGATTTTTCACGTTCGCTGAGGCGCGATTTTCGACCCATTGGTTTGAAATACCGTGAGGTACTCTTTTTTTGTTTTCTTTTTCTACAATCCTCTCTGCGTTTCAATTTCCATAAAAATAAAGAGGAAATTTCAATATTTCATCATTGTCTCGTCTTTCTTTTCGTCCAACTGACCATATGCCTTGTGTACGTCTTCCGGAGACAAAATGTGTCAAAAATTGGGAAATTTCGCCTCCCAAGCTGTCTATCAAAAACCGAGATTTGGAGAACAGATTTGAATTTCGTGGGGGTGGTTTAAGAACATTAATGACAATTTGGCATTTTGTATTTCACTCAGAAAGCATTTGAAATCCAACCTGTAATAGAAGGGCCCCACACTGTCAAGTTCAAGCTGATTTATCTTGACTCACAAGCAAGATATCAAAATTCTGTCAACCGATAAAATGTTTTTGATATTATGATAAACAATTTATTAGTGGACAACTATTTTATATCTTTGACAGGTACCGAGATAAACTGGCTCAAGGTTAGAGGGCCTCTCTTTTACAGGTTTGATGTTTTTTGCAAATTCACTATTTTTTACCCTTTCTTCTTATACTGTACTACTGCTTGGTGATTGGAGAATTTCGAACTTTTTCAAAAATTCTTGGAAAACTTCAAGTTTAATCAAACCAAAGAAGGGCCTTGTTATTTTCGAATGGACCTCTTCTTCTCAACACCTAATAAATCTCTTTTTTTGCACCACTTCCAACTGTTCGAATCTTCCCTAAGGGAACTCGAAAAGAAGACGTGCAGACTCCCAGTTGCCCCCACTAAAATATATCCTTTTCTTTTCTCCACATCATCATCGTTTCCACTCATCATCAACTTCTTACTTTCCATTTTTGTTACTTCTTTTACTCTGTTATTCACTTCAAACTAGGAAACAAAGTAATAGAGTCAAAAGAAGGGACTGAAAGATCTCTTTGTTTTCTAGAATAACATTCATTCAACAAAACCGCGTTGTTTTGAAGAAATTCGAGATTTGTCTTCAAAACAGACTACAAAGCAATCGTGGAATTCATTTGACCACCTATGTTCAGTTGTCGTTTATGTTTTTGGGGTTTAGTGAGTCATTTTGTCAGACAGGCTGAACAGATTACAAAAAACCCAATTAGAGGTATTATCCTGGTACAAAAAATCGTAGCTGTGTAAGAGAAACGCCTATAACCGTAGCCGAAGATACCACAACGACAGCTACCGTAGCTTACTCTTCCATTTTTTTTGTACCAAAATAATGTTTCATAAAATTTTCGAGCCTTCCGCACTCCGCATTTCATTCTAGAAACATCAGAAAATAATCAATTCTTTCTTTTCGTACTCTTCTTCCGTTCACTGCTCCATTTCAAGTACCCACTTGATCTTCCTTGAAATTCAAAACTCACGTCGTCTCTTCTCACCCATTTCTCATTTTGCACTTTTCACACTTCTCCCACCAAGAGTCTTGTCCTAATTTTTCAGAATGTTTCAGAGAATTCTGGGAATGCCATTGGCTATGTACAAATTTCTTCTAGTCACTTCGATATTTCTAATCGTTTCCGGTCTGATCCTTACCGCATTTTCAATATTCAGTCCACTCTGGGAGGTTGTTGATTTCCCTCGATCCCATCTTTCACATCACCATGGGCTCTGGTGGGATTGTGTTGTACATCATGATACGCTGATACCTCTCGACGAAGTTCAAGCCGAGTACGAGGTTTGAGTTTTCGGGAAAGGCAGAAACATAAGTGGTGGTTTTTCTAGGAGATCGATGTGATAGTAAAATGGATTCATCGGTTCAAGCAACATTACGACAGGCTTTAGAGAAAGGAGATCCTGAAGCAAAAGAACTTCTCATGCACAGATTTCTTCGTAAGTTCTCGTAGCTTCTCTGTCAGCCTTTTTAGAAAAAAAACCCCAATTACAGCTCACCACAAAGGGGTAATATTCTTCTCCGTGTTCACATTCGTCTTCGGTCTTATATCCATTCTCATTGGCTCTTGTTCGCCATGTTTCCCACCAAATGCTCTTCTTTATGTCGTCGGAGTTTTCATGACAGGAGCATGTTCATTGTTGGGTGATGTCATTTACATTTTTGCATTCAATCAGAAACCCATTTTTGTGAAAGAACAAGAAACCCATCATGAAGCGACTCTTTTGAGGAGAGAACGAGGATCAATAGGTCCAATATATGTAAGTTTCAGAGATCTGATTTCAATGTTTTATTCAATTTTAATCCAGAAACGCCTCGGAATCGCCACATACATCCATATGTTTGGATCGATGCTTCTAGTTGCTGCATTCGTTTTTTCAATTTTCTGTGCATACTTTTTAATCACTTCCAAACATGCCCACGACGTCTGTTGTACCAGCCGAAAGGAGTATCGAGAGCAGAACAAGTTTGTACCTTTCTTGAACTTAAAAAATATATCCCACGAATTTCAGATGGCGTAACAGTGGACTGATTCTGAAGACAGGAAGAGTAAACCATCAATCGCACCGACCGTTCGTAGTCATTGATGATGACAGTAGTATTTGATATGGATCCAAATGTTAACTCATAATTATTCCTAATTATTCCTGTGATTTGATCTCTGTTCTAAAAAGTTAATGCCGGTTTTCGACTGAAAAATGATATGAACATCAATGTACATAATGATTATATATTTTGAATAAACGTGCTTTTTGGAACCTCTCCTGGTTTTTATGAATTTTTGGATTGTGGAGAAAGTCATCAGGGATATTCGAAAAAAAAATTGAAGTTCTGGGTCCTGAGTCATGGGTTATCTTCAAGATGCACGAAATGGTTCAAAATTCTGAAATTTTGAAACTCGAAAACTTCGAAAAATCTATTCCAAGCATTTCTGAGTGTCATGTGACCGTATAAAATCACTACTCGTTTCAAAGTTGTACCTGATCACTTTGTGACATTTCTAAAAAACAAAAAAAGTAAAAATGTGATTCGATCGTCAAAAATTTATGAGGTTTCGTTGTTGATTATGACTCGCACACACAGAAAAAAACATGGAAAAGGTGATTGGAAGGTTTTGGAACATATGAAAAATGTCTATGGGAGGGATGGGAGGGGGTAGCAAAGATATGAATTAAAACGAGCACGCACAAAAAATAGGACCAAAAACTATGGGGAGAGAAGAGGCAATTCACCATTATGGCAAGGTTTTTTGTGGGAGGAGAAAATGGACCAAAAAAAGAGAATTGTACAAAAGTGAGCAAGTATGGAAACAAGAGTGACATTGAGCATGGTTTTTCGTGTGGGGGAATTGAGCAAAAGACGTGTTTGGAAGAACAGCGTATTATTCAAACAGGAGAGTCAGAATCTTCTCAACCCGAACAAATAATATGCGTGTGAAGAGAAGGAATTCAGGGGGCAAGTCTTCTATACGAACTATATAAATTGAAAAGCTGAGAAAAGAAAACAAAACAGATGTATAAAAGTGTCAAAAAGAATCACTGAGAATTGCAGAACCACGTGTTGAAAATGATGATGATGAATGAGGATGTCTTGAACTTTTTTGTCGAATTTTTTGTTGTTGCTTTAATTCTAATTATTCTATCTCTCTAATTGACCAGTTGTTGAGGCTGTTGATATGGTGGAGGCGGTGGAAGAATCAAATTGCTGAAACCTGGGAAATAAGATTTTTCAATTCAGAAACTCTTTTCTCACCCATTGTGTTGTTCTATTCTAGCAAAGTTGTTTGTTGTTTTCACACTTTGCTGATAGTTCAACTGCTGAGATGGTGGGTGTAGTTGTGGCTGATGAGATGACGTGGAAATCACCGAAGATGTCATTGTTGTAGAAGATGTTGTCTTCGTTGAAGCTGTTATTGGCGCAAAGTTCGGAAGATGAAGATTCTGCGAGAATGTAGCAGAATCAAAATAATAATCACCGCGGTGCGTCGGAAGAATAACTGCAAAATAAAAAATTAATTTTGAAAAAAGAATAAACAAGAACACTTACATGCTCCTCCATTGATTATTCCACCATCTAGCGAACTTAAATCTATGCATGACGACGGTCTTCGATTGTGTGATAGTATTCCAGCCGGTGAATTTCCATAGAATCCATTGGTCATTCCATTTCTTGTTGTTGCAATTCCATTTAACTGCCCTTGACTTTGTCGATGTTCTTTTAACAATTGTAGAATTAAAGGATAATTTTGCATTTTCTCAGTTGAAAATGATCCAGTTTCTTCTAGGAATTGTGTTGGAGTGACACTGGCCGGAGGGAACGATGCTTGTCTATCACCAGCGATTTCTGCAGGTAGTGGACCTGTTGGGACTGGAGCAGGAGCTGCTGCAGACGGTGTCATCGTGGTTGGTGGAGGTGGAGAGGATGATGGCTTCGGTCCAACAGCAAAGTTTGCAGGGGCTGGGAACTCGTACGGTGGTGGATTTCTGGGACGAGCAACAGTTCCAGGAACATGAAGAGAATGTGCATGAGTTAGAGATGTTGGACCATGGTGCATTGGAACATCTTCATATGTACTCAGCATTTGGTTCTGAATAAATAATTTTGTTGAATTTTGTCAAATTCAGAAGGTGTTTATTGACTTACGTTACTCCGATAATAGCCATTCACATGATAATGACTTGGCATTGAATGAACTCTGTTGATTGCGTTTGCATTCCTATTTCCTGCTGAATTCTTCTTAACAAACCGTCCGCCGGTACCTCCCAGTGCTCCATTGAATCCTTCTACTTGTTGATTCAACCACATATCCTGATGTTGAGAATCAATCCTTGTTTCTGATCGTGTCATTTTGTCTCTTGGCGTAATTTCAGGTGGTGATGAGCTTCCTGCTGATGGCGTGTTGGAATTCCATTGAGCAGGCGGAGAATATGATCTTTCTGCCATTGCTCGTAGATCACTTGCGCTCATTGACAGCAATCGGTCGTTTATTGATTGAGTTGTTTCAGTTTCTAATGGTAAACTCATTGCTAATGAGCTACTGGCTACTGTAGTTTCCACTGGCAACGATGGTACTTCTTTAGATGAATATGCCACGTGTGTACCACTTGTCGATGTTGATGACTCATGTCGCTCTCTATTTTTATTATTAAAGTTAACATCCACTATACTTCTAGTGCTTCCCGACTCTATTGTTTGTGATGCATTATCCATCGAAGAGGGTCTTGTAGCGGAATCTTGTGGCGTGGTTACTGTATATGTTGATGATGTGGCGCCTGAAGATTCGTGGGCAGGATGGTAGGTCTGATGACGAAGTTCAAGGCGAGACCGTTCACTTTCATCACTGGCTTTGCTCGATTGGGATGCTGCTCGTTCTTGTCGGATATCTAAAGCTGAATTTAAGGTTTTTTCCTGATATCTAGCAAAGAAACTCACGATCCAGTTCCATCTTCTCGATCTTCACGTCGAGATTCGAATCCATTTTGATTCTAAGACGGAGTTTCGAAGACATTGAGCCATGACACCGATCGCCACACGCACTGCTCAATGAATCGCTATCTGAAAAATTAACTTTTAAAAAATTAAATCCGTCTCGAAGTCAAATCTTACCCTTATCATGATCCCCACTGCCAATTCCACTAGTTGAAGACGTACTAATTCCATCTACTGACATTTCTAGATATGGCTTTGGTGGTGGAGCCATTGTTGCATGGAGGTGTGACATAACTAATAAAGTCTGATGTACTGCTTTACATAATTCGAGAAGATATCTTGCTTTGTGTTCTGTTTGTGCATATAATGACATTTTCGTACCATCCGACCCAATTATAGTCATCTTCTTTCGATTGAACGATAGTTTCGCCACTCGACTCCATGTCAAAGATCTCAACGGAATTCTGTCTCCATCCTCTCCAATGTCACACATTTCTATGCCCTTGGCGTTGATTCCGAGCACCGCGTTATCCGTATTATCCATTTTATGCCTCCTTAATCCATACAAATGGCAGTTAAGAGCGAACGGTGACCTTCCCGCCTCGATCATAAACTTTTCCATTGCCTTGTAGCGTCCTTCATTGATAATGTCTTCACATGCGGCGGGTAGGTTGTTTCGAATATACTCAAGACCACGCTCGTTTATCACCCATAACGGAAAGTACTGTTCGGCGCGAAAGTACCTGCAATAAAGACAATAGTTATTGGAACATGTGTTGACAGGAAACATCTATTATAGTTAACTAAAATTACCAAAATTTTAGAAAAAGGGGATCTCAGCTTCACGTAAAGATATCCACAGCTTTGATATTTCATCGGAAGACCGTCGTGAAAGTCTCATCATCGATCTAATTTCTTTGCAAAACCCATAACTGGCGCGCGGGAATCGAACCGACAAGGTCACCCCTGGCGGAACGATCAGCGCGCACACACCCGCCTAAGCCACACGCTCACCCGAGGTAGTCATTCCCTTTGTCCGTTATAAGAGCGAGGGCAGCCATGTACCAACACCTCTCTTCTGACACACTATTTCTCCCCGCCCAGTGGTCGAGAAAGTTGTCTTTGAGTTGCAGATAGTAGTGTTCTCGTGCTTTTGGGCATCTGAAAAATAAGACATTGGACATTTTAATGAGATTAATTTACAGAATTTACAGGAGAACAACTGAACAGAAGGGAGAAAAAGAAAACTTACGTCAGTAATCCAACCTGATCAATGTAAACTCTCACTCGAAAGTAGAGAACCAAAATTGGCCGGTTTTCACTGGACTTTGAATGCTGAAAAAAATTTCAGAAGAATTAAATGCAACTTCAGCAACAAAAAATATACCCAATTAGCGAATCGTGGTTGTTTCTGTGCATATTTCATGATTTTCGCTGCTGGGTCCAGGAAGTAGTATTCATGACGAGGCTGATCACCGCCAATTCCTTCTGTTGGTTGTCGAAATGCTAAACCGAACAATTTGTCTTCTGATAGAGACAGACGTTCGCCACATTTCCAGAGGACGTCGTGTACTTTGGTTTTCGACTGAAAATATTAAGAATGTTGACTGAAACAATGGTACTATTACCAGTAATAGTCGTGCCCCTAACTTTTAACTTTGAGCCAATTTATCTGGTTCCTGTCAAAGGTATAAAAAATTGTCTACTTATAAAATGTTGTTAATTTTACGAAAAACACTTTATCAGTTGACAAATTTTTGATATCTCTTATATGAACCGAGATAATGGGCTCCGATCAGAGCATTTACGGTTTCGTTTAAAAATCTATGTGATTTTAGAACTTTGAAAAAACGAAGAGAAGTGTATTACACACGATGTTGCCACTCGTAGGTGGCTAGGATTACAACATTTTCGTTGAATCATAGATGTTGTAAAATTGAAAAGTAAAAGTTGTCCATGTAAGAAGACATGAAAATCGAATCTACCGTTCCCCTAAAAAACTTACACTAACTGCCACATGGAACGACTCTTTTGTGAGTGTTTGCACTGAAACAAACGTCTGTCCAGGACGGATATTGTGTGTGGAGGTGAAGACTTCTGGATCAGAGAAACTCGATGACGATGGCTGTTGAAGATGGACGGGCAGCCGAGAAGAGACGTCGCCGCGCGCTGAGCCCGGCGAGTCCATTTATTGGAGAAAGAGGAGGGGAACAGTGAAAAAACTCATAGAGCAATCGGTCAGGGTTTTTTCGGGTTGAATGCTTTTGTCCTGCTCTTCACACTTCTGAAATACATCTTATTAAGTTCAATAACTTTTGAGATGGTCAAATATATGTCACGGGAGAAGATGATAACGGTAGATCATTGAGAAGAATTGATCATAAAAACAGATAGAGGCATCAATGAAAAAATGAAGAATTTGCCCGCCTGACCATATAATTTTTTTTCCTTGAATTTAATTCAAAAAAAGAACCCTTTCAAAATTTTTCCAATCATTTTCCAGACAAAAAGCTTTTCTGTGTTTCTTGTTCTTCTCCTATTTCTTTCATCTTCCCATTCACATGATTCTTGAATTCTATAGTCTTGCGGTTTTGTGTCGCCCCGGGGGCGTTTGCTCTAAAAATTGAAAATTCCTCTGCTCCTCCCAAAAACGTTTCCATCGTTCCTGATAATAATCAGGGAATGAAGGAGAAAGAGATTGTGAAAGAAAATATGGAAGAGTAGGAGGAAAAAGAAGAAGAAGAAGGCTGAGGATAGTCATCACATACACTTTCCCCTTTCGCCTCTTATCACGACAGGAATTTTGGTGTCGGTGATAAAAAATTATGAAGAGAGAAAGTTGGTGGTTAGGTTGATGCAAGTAGATATGCCTAGGGTAGACGATGTCCGAAAAAATATATTCAAAAAACCAGGAGTTAGGGCAAGCAATCTCAGATTAAGAAACACACAGAAGTTTTAAATGAAACTGTTTAAAATTATGAGGTTTGCAATAAGCTAATCAATTGGGCAGTTCCTAGAACGACTGATAACTTCACTGCTGATTCCAAATACTTTTGAAATGAATGAAATATAGAAAGAAATGAATGAAATATCCTTTGAATTTAAAATTTTGAAGTTTTGAAGTTATTTGAATAGAGTCTAAAAATGTTGGAACCATATTGGTTTGAAGTGTGGGGGTATTTAATATACCGTTCCCACTATCATAGAACGCCATCCCTAGCTTTTGACTTTGAGCCAATTTATCTTGGTTCCTGGGAGAGTTTTAAAAAAGTGGTTAACTGACAAAATATTTCTGATATTATGATAAAAATTTTATCAGTTGACAATTTTTATATCTTTTACAGGAATCGAGATGTACAGTGGCGAACGTTAGTGAGTGTCCCTCTATACTTTTGTTTATAACTTTACTCAAACTTGTCCAGTCATTGAAAACTTTTTTGTTAAATGTAGCTGGATTTCCAACAAAACTTTGTATAAATTTTTCGAAACTCAATCATTTTTCGTGTCTTCTGAATCTTCTCAGAGGTGACGATGACTCCAGAAGAAAAAAGTAATTTTCCGTCAGACTTTTTTAAAAAGATTGTCTCAGGAGTTTGGCTATAACTCGGCTCAAAATGATCCAAAATTGTTCAAATTTTGAGAAAATGTGTGTCTTAAACTGTTCTACAATATACATACAAAACGTTGAATTTTGGAAACAAAAATTTTTTATAATTTTATCATTTTTATGTACCGAAGACAAGCTATGTATTATGAAAAAAAATTTTGTTCTCGAAATATAAAGTTTTGTATGTTTATTTATTGTAGAGCAATTTGAGACACACATTCTCTCAAAATTTAAACAATTTTGGCTCATTTTAAGCCGAGTTATAGCCAAACTCCTGAACCATACCTTTTATGCTCCAGTGAGCACATCTCAAGAACAAGTGTTCCAAACCGCTTCAAATTTTTTCTGTATATATTTGATCTACACCAAACATTTTTCATCAAAAACCCAATCTTTAAAAAAATGCTGACGGAAATTTTTTTTCATCTGGAGTCATCGTCACGTCTGTGAAGATTCAGAAGACACAAAAACTGATTGAATTTTTAAAAATTTGTTACAACGTTTTGTTGGGAACCCAGCTACATTTAACAAAAAAGTTTTCAATGATTGGACAAGTTTGAGCAAAGTTATGAACAAAAGTATAGAGGGACACTCACTAACGTTCGCCACTGTATGGGCTTAAAGTTGACGGTTTAGAGCCGGGGGGAGGGGCGTTCTAATAGAGTGCAGAGCTTTCTCAAAAGAGTCTCAAAATCTTAAGACCAAACCAATCAAAAGTGCCGAGGTCAAATTCTGGATAAACAAAGTTCGAAAACTTAAGTCAACGATTCCTAAAGCTGAGTTTCAAAATTTCAAAATTGAGTAAGAATGGTCTTTCGAGGAATCAAATTTCTATAACGGTTCATTGTTCATAGTTAAGGAATTCAAATGTCACCCGCCATCATTATCAGTTGTTCAAGATTGCATAGTTCAGACTACTGATTATTTTTTAAATTTCTGAAAATCCTAACACAATGTGGATCAGTTTTATCAGAGATCACAGACTTTTTTCCTCGCTTATCTCATAATCAGTGATCTTTTTTGACAGGCCCTAACAGACAGTAAATTTTTATCTAACCTGATTTTTTGAAATGAGCGGAAATAGTAAAAAATTGATAACAAGGCATAGTAGACATTTATGATGTGACAAATACACCCACATCATCACTAATGAGAGAGTTCTCATATTTCCAAACAATAGGAGGACACTAAAAATGGGGTGTAATCAAATAAGGGGGAGAGAATGTGAGAAAAAGAAAATGATGTGATGATCAATCAATGTTTTTTCTTCTGTTGACAAGGGGGTAAACGATTGGGGAAAAAGGAAGAGAAGAGGAGAAAAAATGAAGGAATGTTTAGAATAAGATAAGAAGAAAAGGGAAAAGAGAGAAATTAAAAGAACTTAAAAGGGAAATGGTGTCATCTGGAATCTGTGATATCAGGTACATGATGACCTTCTCCACTAATCAGGTGGTTAAGTTGGTTGGTTATACGATAAATACCAATATCTTGTGATACACCATAATTTTTCCTGTCAGACACCATCGGAATGCCTTCTACAGTGACTAATTTGGCGTTTCCGGTCATCTGCTTTTGTTTGTTTCAAAAAAAGAAGGTACGGAAAAAAATAGACACAGAAAAATTGTGGAATGCAGAGAATGGGTTCTGCTTTGAAGGTTTTGGAAATGGTTTGGAAGAATAAATTGGAATGGGGTTAAGAAAAGAAGGCAAAAATAAGAGGAAAGGTGAAGAAAACGAAGACGATGGGGCTGTTAAAGTGTCGTAAAATAGTTGGACGAGAGAGAAGAGCGTCATTGAAGGACAACGGTATAAGTCTAGGGTTTTCAGATTATTTTCTTTTGCTGTTAAAAGTTCAAGGAATGTAGTATGTGTATGGTATGTAGACAAAAATATCTTTAAAAATAAGGAAAATGGAAGGTTAAGAACAGAAACAAAACAATGCTGCCTTGCATACCATACACGAGTCAAAAATATAAGGTAAGAAGAAGAGAATAAGACAAAGAGAGAGGGAAGACTTTAGATGTCTCTGGGTCTCCACCATTCTCAATACTCTCTCGGCCCGGCCAGGAATTCCTTCGGACACCTGCGTCTTGGAATCTCTTGGACAGTGCCTTGCGACAGACTGTACATACCATGGGGACAGCAGAGAAAAGGCAAAAGATGATGGGGGATATTGGGAAGAAGTGCGCAAAAAGAAAGGAGGTATACGAGAGTATACGAGAGTCAAGGAAACCCATCTTTTCACGTAATCATCAGTAATAGGTTCGATTTTTTTTCTGAGGAGGTTGTGATCGTAGAAGTGAAAAGTGAAATTGAGAAAAAGATAAGGGTAGAGAAGAAGGAGATATTCAGATGGAGGGGGGAACGTAAAAAGAGCCGTAAAAAGAGCCGTAAAATAGGAGAACCAGCTCTTCTATTATACCAAGGTTTCTGCGGAAGGCCTTGCTTTTACAGGGGCCTTCAATTAGAGAGGGCTCTTCTGTTTTCCAGCCATTTTTTCCAAATTTTTCAAATTTTAATCCATTAAAATCTGACGATTTCATCAAAATTGAGCCAGGTTTTAAGCAAAAGAGAGTGTTTCAACAAATTTTCTGTGAAATTTTGAAGTTATTTTGACTATTTTTCGCTGAAAACGCAGGGAAATGCTTAGTTTCAGACAACATATTTTAAAGGGGATCTTATATTTTTCCAAACCGCTCTCGCAGTGCCCTTCTATTACAGGGGCTCTCCAATCAACGAGGCCCTTCTAATACAGGTTCTACGGTAGTTGGTTACGGTATTGTCGGAAAAATAGTATTCTTCTTGAAGGTGACATCAAGCGTATTATGTTTTTTTTTGGAAACTTTGAAAACGAATTCGTACAAAAACAAAAAGAAAAGAAGAAAACTTCGATACGAGAACAATGATCATGGAAGAAGAATACAATAGTAAAGTAAACATGGTCAGAAATCATACTGAATTCTAGATTCTAGAATTTTTATTGACCTACACTAGCAGCATACACGCACCTCGCATAGTAAACAAATAAATGAAAATCTAGACATGACATAAAAGAAACTTGGAACCCATGAATTAAGTGTAAAACTAATCTTTGTCGTGATCAATCAAATCAAAATCAGCATGTACTGTGACGGAAAAGAAGAAGAAGAAGATGAAAAAAGATGTTATCTTCTCTTCATCATCAACTAAAAACTGCGCGCGCAACGGAACCGAAATAGGAGAGAGAAAATAAATCAGAAGGATTGGTAGTAATAGTTATTAAATGGTTTGAGAAGAAGAAGAAAAGAATGAAAAGAAGAAGAAGTACAACATTACTTATGAATACACATTTCATCATATATATATATATATTCATAAACGATGATTCGTAATCGAGATTGGTGGCGCGGCGCCTCTTTTTCTCCTCCTCCGAAGGAAGCAAAAAAAAAGTTACAACGACTCGTGATGTGTGAAAAAGGAGAGAAAAGATTTTCATAAAGATTTAGGCGATTTGTAAATTAGATAACCATCTCATATTGGGGTATGTTTAAAGTTTTTTTGATGACAAAGTTGGTGTGACGAATTTAGATTCATTGTGGGGA